ATGTGTTTTTGAATGATTTTTATTAAGGATTTTTGCATCTTATATTCATCAGGGATATTGGCCTATGGTTTTCTTTCTTTGATGTGTCTTTAATAGCTTCATAGAATGAATTTGGTGGACTTCTCTATTTTGTGAAATAATTTGAAAAGGATTGGCATTAGTTCTCCTTAAAGGTCTGGTAGAACTAAGCTGAGAATTTAACAGATCCTTGGCTTTTCTTTGTTGGAAGTCTTTTCATTTCTGCTTTAATCTCATTGCTTGATATTGTTCTGTTTTTCTATATCATCATGGTTCAATTGAGTAGGTCATACATGTTTAGAAATTTGTCATTTATCTTCTGGGTTTTTCAGCTTATTGACCTGTAAGTTTTCAAAATAGTTTCTAATGATCCTCTGGATTTCAAAAATGTCTGTGGTGATATTTTTATCTATAATTTTTATTATAATTTTGTTAATTTAGATCTTTTCTTTCTTTTGGCTGGTTTGGTTAAAGGTTTATCAATCTCATTTACCTTTTAAAAGAACCAGCTCTGTTGTACTGATCCTTTGTATTGCTCTTTTATTCTCAATTTCCTTAATTTCAGCTCTGATCTTAATTACTTCCTATCTTCTACTGATTAGGGGATTAATTTGTTCTTTCTCTAGAACCTGGAGGAATAACATTATTTATTTATAATCTATTTTTTAAACATAAGTACTCAATGCTATAAACTTTCTTCTTAGAATTGCTTTCATACTGTTCCAGAGATTTTGATATGTTGTACCTCTGTTCTCATGTTTCTAAGAATTTTATTTCTCCCCTGATTTCTTCTATGATCTGCCTTCAAAAGTGTATTATTTCATCTCTAGTTGTTAAAATGCTTTGTTTTTATCTTGTTATTGATTTCTAATTTATTCCATATTGATCTGAATTGGATGCAAGGATGTATCTCTACTATTTTTCATATTTGCTAAAACTTGTTTTATGTTCTAAAATATGGACTATTTTAAGAAAGTCCCAAGTGCTGCTGAGAAGTGAATTTGGTTGTTGATAGAAAAAAAATTCTATAATTGTCTGTTAGATCCATTTGTTTGATAGTATGTAGTTCTAAAGAGTCTTTACTTAGTTTATGTCTGCATGACCTATTTATTGGTGAAAGAGGTGTGTTGAAATCACCCACTATTAAGGTAGTGTAGTCTATTTGATTCTTGAGTATAGGGTATATATGTAGATGCATCAATGTTTGGGGCATAAACATTTACAATCAGTATATCTTACTGTTGGATGATTCCCTTAACTAGTATTAAGTGACCTTAGTCTCCTCTGAATTTTTCTGCTTTAAGTCTGTTTTGTCTGATATGAGAGAGGCTACCCCATGCTTACTTCTGTTCTCCATTTGCATGGCATATCTTTTTCCATCCTTTCTACTTCAGGCTGGATGTCTTTGCCTGTAAAATGAATTTCTTAATCCATCCCACCAATCTATATTGATTAGAGAGTTAAGACCATTTATATTCAGTGTTATTCTAAAGAGATTATTTTTATTTCCTATCATTTTGATTAATTTTGAATGTTTAATTCAGCTGTGATTTTCTGTTAATTAACTATTCTTGTGGAATTCATCCCTATGCTGGCTATGATATTTATTTTCCATTTCTTTTGCATGAACTATTTCATTGAGTATGTTTTGAAGTGGTTATGGGGTTATGAATTTTTTTAGTTTATGCTTATCCTGAAAGGTTTTTATTTCATCTTCCATTCTGAAGGATAGTTTTGCTAGCAAAACTATTTTGGTTGGCACCTGTTTTCTTTCAGAGCTTGGCCTGTGTTATTTGAAGCCCTACTGGTTCTAAGTGTCTGGGCTAAGAAATCCATAGAATTCTATCTGGCTTACCTTTAAATGTGACCTGCCGTTTTTCTCTTGTGGTTTTTAAAATTCTATCCTTATTCTGTATATAGGCATTTTAATTTTACTGTGTCTTAGAGAGAATCTTTTTTTTTATCTTGGCTATTTGGAGTTCTAAATGCCTTTTCTATTTGGATTTGCATTTCATTCCTAAGATTTGGAATTTTTTATGATATTACTCATTGAAAAGGTTGTGCATTCCTTTAGTTTATATTCTGGTGCTTTCTTCTATGCCAATGATTCTTACTTTGGTCTCTTAATGTTACCCCAGACTTCTTGAATGTTTGGGCCATGTTCTCTTAATATCTTTTTTTTTTAAACTGTCAACTTATTTTCAAGATTAAACACTTTGTTCTCAAGGCCTGAGAATCTATCTTCTGTGTGTTCTAATCTATTGGTGATTCTTTCAACTAAATTTTTAATTTTTTTGAGTCTTTCATTTGAAGGACTTGGTTCTTTTCCAGAATGAATTATTCTCCCTCCCTCCCTGTCTCTTTTTGAGATCTTTTGACTTCTGTATTTTCTCTGTAAGTTCATTACTTACATCTTCTTTTAGCTCACTGAGCATTTTAACTATGAAATTTCTGAATTTTTTCTCCAATATTTCCTCCACTGGGGTTTCAATGGAATCAATTGTTGCAGTGTTGTAGGCTGTTTGGAGTGGTTCATTCCCTTGCTTTTTCATATTGCTTATATGTCTACCCATCTTCTGGGATGAATATCCTTTTCATTTTTATGCAAATAACTATTTAGTGAGCTTCCTTCTCTTAAGTGCCCTGACTGGGCAAATATTCAGGCAGCGATACTTTCACTCGATGTGTATCTTCTGCTGTTCCTAGTATCAGCATCACTTTGAGAGAAGATACTAAACCCTATTAACTGCAATCACTTGAGAGCAAAGCCATGTACTGATAACCCTTAGAAAAAAATATTCTCCACAGTTCCTCTAATCTGGGTATGTTCTGGAATAGGTTGAGAAATTAGTTATTAAAGGTAGTAAAATTACTACCCTATATAGGGGCTGAAAGGAGGAGGAGAAATTGGTCAAAGGGAAAAAAAGAAAGAGAAAAGAATAATACAAACCAAGATAAAAGGATAAGTCTTAAGTCTTAAGTCCAACTTAGTCCTGTCTGGGATTGATGTTACCAGCTCTTCCTTTCTCTATAGAAAGGAAAGGGAGACTCTTCTCTGCTGAAAGAGTATACCATGTGAAATGTCTACTTTTGTTTTTACATGATGTCCAATAAAATAAACTACTAGATATATGCAGAGGTTGTAACTGGATGAACAACCAGCTGAAGAAAACAAACATCGAAGCAGACCAGATATTCAAGATATTCAAGGTACCAGGCAATGGTTTTAAAATAAGTCATTAACACATTCATGAAAACAAGATAGACAAAATGAATGAAAAGATTCATAATTTTAATAAGTGAAAGATATTAACAAGAATCAAATGGACATTCTAGGAAAATATACTGTCTGAAATTAAGATTTCATTACAAATTCATTTCATATATTTAACAGGAGAATGGATACAGAATAAAACAATTAGGAAACTTGAAGACAGTCAATGAAAATGATCCAAAATTGAGCACACAGGAAAAATTAAACATGGGGAAAAAATAGAACAGAAGGAAAAAAAAAAGTATGTAGAAGTAAATAACAACAACAACATATTTATGACTGGATTCCCAAAAGAAGAAAAAGAGAATTGGATAAAAGCAATATTTTTAAATGAACAGTTCTAAAATTGATTTAAAATATCAATCAACAGTTTCAGTAAGCCCAGTGAACCATGCAGAATGCCTTGTGGGGTTTTTGTTTATTTTGCCATGTTGTCCAGGTTGGCCTCCAACTTTGGGTTCAAGCAATCCTCAGTGTCCCAAGTAGCTGGAACTACAGGGTGGGCACCACCATACCTAGATATTTTTTTTTAAATCAGACTCTAGTCAAGAAGTTTGCAGATATTATAAGTGGACAATTAGGTTTTACTTAGAATACACAGGTGTTCAGAAGAAGTCAACTATACAGGGAAATCTATGATGAAAGAGTGTTTATGTATTTCAAAACATGCAGATCAATTTTAGAAGAGTGTAAGTGCTGGGAAATTGTGTCAGATAAATAGATGTAAAAAGATAGAAAGCGAAATGAAATTCACCTTTATACTCTTTTAGGGGAAGTGGATAATGAATTTAATATGTCTGTGTAGAGCCCCAGAAGACAATGTTCTCTTCCACCTGCTGGTAATGGAGGAGCAGAAGTGGTGAAGGATTCCTCAGAAAAAAAAAAATCAACTTAGGCAATGGGGTACACTTGTACTTAACATTTTAATAAGTACTCCTAAGTTACCTTTCAACAAGGAAGAGGGCTGTAACAAATGGCCCTCCCAACCACACAAGAAAGTCAACTACCCTCAGTTGGGCTCTTCTCTTTCCTTCCTTAGGTATCTCTCTCCCTCATTCTCCACTGTTACTTTGCTCAAATCTCCTCCTGCACTCCTCCCCCAATCCCATCCAAACATACACCTTCTTGACAAGTATTTCACCAGCAATTTGCAGTGAAAATTAAGTCCCCAAATAACTCTTTCCTGTCCCTAAGTGTACAAAACCTTTTATTCACCCCCATACTATCCTCCTACCCATCAGTTTAAATGCGGGGGCAATCCTGATTGTGAGCGTCCTTCCCCACAGGCTCATTCTGAGACAACCCCAGAACCCCCTAGGTGATCACGGCCCACTACCTCCTTCTTAACACAATCTCCTAATTTTCCTCTGCTCTCTGGCATTTTTTTTTTTTTTTTTCATTCCTTCTCCTGTCCCTCAGGCTCTTATTCAAACCTTAAAAGTTGGGGTTTGGGGTTTCCGCCCTGGGCCCTGGGAGATGTCACCCACTATCTCCACCCCACTCCTTATCTTCAGCCATTACTACCCTTCTGCCTTTGATCAGTACTTTGGGTCCAGACCAATTCACCTAAATTTGACTTCCCCCTCTCCAATTCTGCGGCTCCTTCCCGCCACTCCTCCCAGCCCCTATTGGAGGAAGTCTTTCCTGACTCCTCCCCTTTCCACCTCCCCAAGCAGGACCCGGGTCCGCAATCCAGTGGCTGCAGTACCTCGCAGATCTGAGGAATGTAGTTTTCCTTGAAGTATTTCCTCAGCCTGGGGCTGGCAGTGCGTAGAGAGGACATGGTCAGAGGCCGGGCAGAGAGGCTACGCTCTGTCTCCCCACAGCGCCCCGCGCCTCCCAGCTGCTCAGGGAACACTGACTCGCTGCGACCATGCGTTGCCCGGCAACCACTGGGCTGGTTGCGGAGTCCCGCGCAGCCCGCGTCCCCACTAGGGGCGGGGCGGGGGGCAGTGAAAGGCGGGGCGGTGTGGGGGGGCGGTGAGAGGGGCGGGTCGATGGGGGCGGGCCTCCTGCCCAGCGGGCTGAACTAGGGAATAAGCCCCAGTAAGTGTCTCCCGGACGCTGCGATGCAGCTTCTCCCGGAGTCAGCTCCCCGCCCCGCCTGGTGGAAGCTCGGGGGACCAGCGGGGTCGAGTGGGAGGGTTTACGATTTAACAGTGCCGTTTCCGGGAGGCGGAGCTCAGGCACCCATTTTCTTTCTCTTGCCGAGTTGAGATCGACTCGCTGCTGGGCCCCAGTGCTTTGGAGACCCCACGTCGACCCCCTTGAGCAGCCTGTCCGGGCCCGGCCGCAGCATGGGCGGCGCGCGGGACGTGGGCTGGGTTGCGGCAGGCCTGGTCTTGGGCGCCGGCGCCTGCTACTGCATTTACAGACTGACCCGCGGCCAGCAGCGGGGTAGCGGTGGGCGCCGGCTTCGCCCTTCGCTGTCCGCAGGTGAGGTCGCGGGGTGCCCTGCAGATGGTTGGGTACCGGTATAGGGGCCATCCCGGGCCAGGATGGAGGCGAGGACGCCACGGCTTGTGTGATTTCCCTGTCCTTGGAGTAAAAGAAAGGGCCGAGCTAGAGAGAGAGGAGTGGCTAGTGAAATGCCGAGAGACGATCCGCCCTGCCACCTGGGCTTCCCAGCTTCCACTTCTTTGTTCAAAATCTGGAGTTGGAAAATTTGCCCAAACTTTTGTACTTGCGATCGGCGACATAGCAGAAGACCAGGTTTCTCAGAAAATCAGGAGAGGTTTCAAAGCAACCTGTGCGTTGCTTTGCCTGTCATTTTAAAGCTGGTTCTGGGCCTTTGGGTTACCAAAGGCATACCCCGATCTAGGGAGGGGTGTTGGGGCCCTGGAGCCCTAGAGGGAAGTTTGCAGCTGCCTGATAGAATCTACACCAAAGGGGCAGTTCTGCCCTCACTTGGCCCAGCACACAACTCTTCTTTCTAGAGTTGCTTGAGGATTAAATGAGGTAAAATATGTAAAGTGCTTACTGTCAAGATGATCCACCGTCTCGCAACTTGGGAATGGGGGTGTGTATTGGTTATTGGAACAATTGTCAGCGCGAGGCACACTCCCCCAGCAGACATGATGAGGTTTCTGTCTAAAAGTTGATTAAATCCGTACATTCAGAATTCTAACAGCTTGCTCTTAGTCCAGATCATGGAAACTTTTGGAAAATAATTAAAATCTTCCAACCAAGAAACTCTTCCGCAGATGTAATGAACCAAACAGCTTTATTATTGAGTAAGCATTAAGACATATTGCCTCGAACATCACAGGCAGTCTACTAATGGAATTCCAAAACAGAAGGCCCACCTCTATAACCGGCCATATACAACTCAAGATAAATAATAGCTTGTCCTTAAGAAAGAAAACTTGACAGCACAGTTTTTACATCACAGATTCATTGATAAATAGGGTGGTTATGTGTGTTAACTAGTTGCCTTGATCCAGAAAGGGGGGGACCTTTGTGATAAGCAGGTAGTTAAAAAATGAAAGCAGGTGCCTAAGCTAAGATCCCCTCACAGACCTGAGGGGATTGGTGTTCATCTTGAATGTTTCCATTTCAAGGTGATGGCTCCCAAATCTTTTAAGAATAACTGTCCTTGGATTGTAAAACTGGCATTTACTTTTTTAAAATTTACATTTCTATCAAAGGGACAAAGGATTTAAAATTACAAATGTGCTCAAGGAAATGTTCTAAGAAAAGTGAGTTGGGTGTCTCTTGTCACAAGGAAAAGTGATTGAAGTGTGTATTTACCCTTAGCCTAATCTGTGGACTCTTGTGTCAAAGGTATTTCTGTGTAAATAATTGGGGAGTTTACCTGGACCCAAATATCTTCTCACTTATCCTGATTCAACCTGGTGAACTCTGACAATGTTTAGTTTTTTGGACAAAAGGGAATGAATCATTACTTTAGGTCAGACAACTTTAAAAATAAATTGCTCAGAGTCCTTTCTTCCTGAAACTACACCTCTATTTTTTTATTTGTTCTTTTTAGATATACATGACAGCAGAGTGTTTTTTGACATATTATAAATACATGGAGTATAACTTATTCTAATTAGGGTCTCATTCTTGTGGTTGTACATAATGTAGAGTTTCACTGGTGTTGTATTCACACATGAACATAGGAAAGTTATGTCTGATTCATTCCACTGTCTTTCCTATTCCTGTCCCCCATTCTCTTCATTCCCCTTTGTCCAATCCACTAAACTTTTATTTTTTTTCACCTCTGCCCCCACCCCTTGTTGCATGTTAGCATCTGCATATCAGAGAGAACATTGGACCTTTGGTATTTTGGGATTGGCTTATTTCACTTAGCATGATAGTCACCAGTTCCGTCTGTTTACCAGCAAAAGTCATAAAGTCATTAATCTTTATTCCATTGTGTATGTATACCACATTTTCTTTATTCATTCATCTGATGAGGGGCACCTAGTTTGGCTCCATAGCTTAACTATTGTGAATTGTGCTGCTAAAAACATTGATGTGGCTGCATCACTGCAGTATGTTGATTTTAAGTCCTTTGAGTATATACTGAAGAGTGGTATAACCAGGTCAAATGGTGGTTCCATTCCTAGTTTGTTTGTTTGTTTTTAGCAATCTCCATAATGCTTTCCAGAGTGGTTTTACCCATTTGCATTCCTACCAGCAAGGTATGAGTTTACCTTTTTCCCCCACATCCTCTCCAACAAATACTGTTGCTTATATTCTTGATTATTGCCATTCTGACTGAAATGAGATAAAATTTCAGTTTTAATTTGCATTTCTCTAATTGAACATTTTTCATTTATTGGTTGATCATTTGTATTTCTTCTGTGAAGGTAATTTGCTTTTTGGTGTTAAGTTTTTTGCGTTCTGGATATATCCTGGAGGTTAATGCTGTATCTGAAATGCAGGCAGCAAATATTTTCTCCCATTCCATACCGTCTCTCTTCATGCTCTTGATTGTTTGCTATGAAGAAGCTTTTTAGTTTGATATTGTCCCATTTATTCTTTTTTTTAAAAAAATAATTTTAGTTGTAGATGAACATTATACCTTTATTTTATTTATTTATTTTTATGTAGTACTGAAGATCAAACCCAGGGCCTTATATATGCTAGGCCAGCACTCTAACAATAAGCTACAACCCAAAACCCCATTTATTGATTCTTGATTTTACTTATTGAACTTTAGGTGTCTTCTTGAAGAAGTTGCTTCCTAAGCCATCATGATGGAAAGCTGGGTTTACACTTTCTTCTAGGATCTCTAGTCTATGCCTAGGTCCTTGATCCACTTTGAGTTTTTACACCTTTATTTTTTAAAAGGCTTGAGAAATACTCATTTTGTTATCATCACACTTAAAGTTTGAAGGGTGATCTTTTCTTTTTTCTTGAAGTTTAAGCAATTTGTAATTCCTGTACTGTTAAGACTGTTAGCATTGAAAAAATATGGGGGGTCATTCAACAGTCTCATACAAAAACCTGACAGAGATAGCATGAAAAACTATAAATCTGTCTCAATTATGAATAAAAGTAAAAATCTTAAAGTATTAGCAAATCTATCAGGAATTAAAGAAATAATACATATACCAAGGCCAGATGGACATACAAGGAGAATTCATAGCAAGGAAAATATGTCATTTATTGCATTAGTACATTAGAAACCACATGGTGATCTCATAAATATAATTTGATTTGTGATAATATTTCTGATTTTTAAACTGCAGCCAAGTTAGGAATAAATAGAAGGAAATGTGCTTAAGTTGAAGAGTGTTCATCAGAAACCAAAGGTAGGGTTGGGGATATAGCTCACCAGTAGACCACTTGCCTAGCATACAAAAGGCTCTGGGTTCAATCCCCAGTAAAAAGAAAATGATACAAAAAACCAAAGACAAATATATTTAATGGTGAAACATAAGTAGTATCACTATTAAATTCAAGAACAAGAGAAGTATGACTACTAACATAGCTATTATTCAACATTGTCTTAGAGTTGCAGCCAGCTTGATAAGAATGAAATGTGTGAATATTAGAATAGAGGCAAAATTATGATTGTAGATGACAATTTTTATTTGGAAAAATCCAAAATAATTAACTGAATAACTATTACAAGCAATAAGTTTAATAAAGTAACCTGACTATAAGGTAAATATACTTTAGTCAGTAGCTTCTTATATATACACATTGTATACAAGAATTAAATATAAATTTAATTAAAAATATTTTAGTCACAGTATCTATAAGACTTTTTTTTTTTTTTTTTGGTGCTGGGGATTAAACCCAGGACCCTGTTGCATACAAGGCAAGCACTCTACCAATTGAGCTATATCCCCAACCCAATATCTATGAAACTTTAAAAATTAGGATTACATTTATCAGAAAGCTTGTATGATGATAATTTTACTTCTGTCATTACCACAAGTAGGACTATTCATTACTAGCATCCCAGTCATGTTCCTTTAAAACATACAAAAATGCCACACAGGCAGTGTGCTTGAGTTATTATAAAATTATACTCAAAAAAGTTCTACTTAATGAAAACCTATTCTGTAACTAACCAATGACATGGGGGAAGTGTTACTTTAGGTAGGCGAGCCTGGTTTTTAAAGGAAGAAACAAAATGCTATCAGTATTAGGGGTGTATCTTATTTGCACACAGTGTCTTACTAATAGACATAGACCAAGTGTCCATTTCACATCTATGAGCTTCAGTTTCCCACTTATAAATTGTAAATTTCTTCTTTCTAGAGTTGCTTGAGGATTAAATGAGGTAAAACATGTAAAGTGCTTAAAACTGTGCCTAGCATCAAGAGTGTGTGTTGAATCTGTTTTTAAAATTAAAAAAAAAAAAAATTCATGTTGATTTTAGATGAATTTTAACTAAATTTTCTTCTCATGCAGAAGACTTAACCAGTGATTCATGTGATGATGTTCTAAATGCTGAACAACTTCAGAAACTCCTTTACCTGCTTGAATCAACTGAGGATCCTGTAATTATGGAAAGAGCCTTGGTCACTCTGGGCAATAATGCAGCCTTTTCAGCTAACCAAGTAAGTACCCTCATTCAGCAAACAAGCTCCTTCTATTCTTACACACTAGCAATAATTGTGACCCTAGAAAATTTACTTAATCTCCTAGAGCCTCAATTTTTTATGCCTACAATATAATGTTTGTTTACTTCTAAAAACACAGCCTAGCAGTAATATGATTATTAATATGTTGCTAGATCCCTATGAAGCTGATTACTGGCATTGCATATTATAGTAAGTTTATCCAACATTTATCAGTGTTAGCAGTGCTTCAATAAAACAATAAAAGCATCTAACATTTAAGTACATTCTTTAAATTGTGTAATAGATCTTTGCAGTATGGTTCTGATGCAGATGGTCCCTGGATCACTCTGTTAACTCCTAAATCAATGTAAGTAGCTTTTACAAGTAGAGACTTAACACCAAGACTAAAGAGCTTTATTTGAATACTTCCTGTTCCTCCTCCCTGCTTCCCCATAGAGAACAAGTCAAAACATTTTTATAAATTTTTAAATATCATGCCATTTGTTAACATCATAAATGCAAGGATATTCTGAATTTATACTTTCAGTCCAGTTTTCTCCAGAATGACAGGATTTACTGATTTTTAAGGAGATATACAAAATATTTATACATTATTCTACTATTTCAGTTGCAAGTGACAGAATCCCGGTTATTTTAAGCTCAAAAGGGAAAATATTGGACTTCTAAGAATAGCATTGGCATCAGGCACAATTGAATCTAGCTCAAGGTTGTACTTCACCTTTTGGCTTTGCTTTTGCCAGCTTTTTATGTATTGGTCTTTGGCCCGGAAAGATTTGCTTCAATGAATGGAAAGAAAGCCGTTAGCCTCCTAGGCCTTCATCCTTATGGCTCATGATCCAGAATGTAACATTGTTCTCCCAGGATTAGGTACCTACCCTTTGGATCAGTCTCTGAGGCAAAGGACCATGGACCATGATTAGTGAGGCCTGGCTTACATGCAGGATGTGTGTGCCACACTAGCAACACAATTAGACAGTAAACACAGTTGGCCAACAGTCTCACCAGGGGACTGTGTGGAATAGAGGAGGTACCAGTCTGACCCAGTGGGAAAAGGAGCACTAGTCAATAAAAGAGTAGATGGTGACTAAATTGTTAACTTGCCTGTATTGGAATATTTCGATGCCATAGTTTCCTATCCTTCTGAAACAAGTTGTAGTCAGAGTGGGTCAGTAGCCACTGGTGAACAAGTATTCCCTTGAGCAATGGCAATCATTGCTCCTCACCATCAATTATAGTGCCTAGATGTGCTTTAGCAGTAGTGATGGTGCTTAAGGATCTTTTATGACAGACTTCATGTAGCATGGTAGCCCTATAAGAATATGCTGTTCAGTGACGTAGCCCTATTAGTTTGTGTTAAGCACATTCTATGATGTTTGCACAGTGATGAAATAACCTAATAAGCCATTTCTCAGAACATGTCCCTGTGGTTACATTGCATAACTACACAGAAAAGGGCGGGGGCACTGTTTCCTAGTAATAGCAAGTCCTTCAAAAAACCTGGAATTGCAGAGGGAAGTTTCTTTTTCTACAATGCTAAGCTCACCTTTAACATAGAGTCCTGGCAATTTGTAAAAAGTAGATGATGGCAGGTTTTTTTTTTTTTTTTCTGACAGAATGGCATGTCTGGCATGAGAAGAGTAATTTTCAGCTTATTTTTCTTATGAGAATTAAAGCAACTGATAACTTCTTTCAATCTTGGGACCAATGACACATGGTAACTCAGGGTGGCAATTAATTATGCAAAAAATCGAATGGTTTTTCCTCAGAAAATCTGGGCACCACTTTCCAAACTGTGTGAAACTCTAATTCTGCAAGATATTAATGTATTGCTTTGACTTCCACCACTGAAAAATGACCCTTTTGTGTATAGTTCACAGAACTACACTAGTCATTACTCCCTTCTTAAGAGATTCCCACTGCACATGAACATGTTACTGCCTCACAGTAAAAAAACGTTTTCCCTTGTTATACCCAGAGTTCCCCAAAGTCACATAATTATTGAACCCCCCCCCTTTTTAATGAGACATCTGTTAACAACTTGAAGGACTCATGTTCCAAAAAATACACATTACAGACACTGTATTCTAAATCTTAACACTTTTCCAAGTTTGCCTGTAATAAAGAAGTCACATAACTCATTTCAAAGTAAAATAATTTTATTTGTTAACTGCTTCAAAATCATTATAGTAACTGCAAATCTTCATTGTATAACTATAGTACAAATAATCACATATCTTGATAATTTTATTTTCAATTGCTTTTCTTTACCCACAGAATTATGTGTAGACAATGGGGTCATCAATAGACAATAGTTGCTGGGCACAATGGCATGCTCCTGTAATCCCAGAGGCTTGGGAAGCTGAGGTAGGAGGATCATGAGTTCAAAGCCAGCCTCAGCAATTTAGCAAGGCCCTAAGCAACTCAGCAAGACCCTGTCTCAAAATAAAATATTAAAAGGGCTGGGGATGTGGTTCAGTGGTTGAATGCCCCAAAGTTCAATCCTTGGTACCCAAAAAGAAAAAAAAAAAAATAGACAATAGTTGTATACTATGTATTGCAAAAAGGTAGAAGAAAGAATTTCAAATATTTTCACCATAAAGAAGTGATAAATATTTAAAGAAATAGTACATTTAACCTGGTTATGATGAACCCAGCCTAATTCCATCTTAAGATTGGGAGCCATCTTGACACAAGGTCATGAAAAGTTCAGTTCTGTTTACTGTAAAATAACAAGATTTCTATTTGGCCTGACCACACTTTGATGTTTTAAACTTGCTTGGAACTCCTGCCTGTGCTTTTATTTTATTTTATTTTATTTTTAAATTTTTTATTGTGGGTTGTTCAAAACATTACAAATTTCTTGACATATCATATTCCACACTTTGATTCTAGTGGGTTATGAACTCCCACCTTCACCCCATACACAGATTGCAGATTCACATCAGTTACACATCCATTGATTTACAAATTGCCATACTAGTGTCTGTTGTGCTCCGCTGCCTTTCCCATCATCCACCCTCCCCCCTACCCACCTCTCCCCTCCCCTCCCCTCCTCTCTCTCTACCCCCTCCACTGTATAACCCTGAGGGTCTCCTTCCATTACCGTGCAATTTCCCTTCTCTCTCCCTTTCCCTCCCACCTCTCATCCCTGTTAAATGTTAATCTTCTTCTCCTGTTCTTTGTCCCTACTCTGTTCTTAGTTACTTTCCTTATATCAAAGAAGACATTTGGCATTTGTTTTTTAGGGATTGGCTAGCTTCACTTAGCATAATCTGCTCTAATGCCATCCATTTCCCTGTAAATTCTATGATTTTGTCATTTTTTAATGCAGAGTAATACTCCATTGTGTATAAATGCCACATTTTTTTTATCCATTCGTCTATTGAAGGGCATCTAGGTTGGTTCCACAGTGTTGCTATTGTGAACTGTGCTGCTATGAACATCGATGTAGCAGTGTCCCTGTAGCATGCTCTTTTTAAGTCTTTAGGGAATAGACCAAGAAGGGGAATAGCTGGGTCAAATGGTGGCTCCATTCCCAGCTTTCCAAGAAATCTCCATACTGCTTTCCAAATTGGCTGCACCAATCTGCAGTCCCACCAGCAATGTACAAGTGTACCCTTTTCCCCACATCCTCGCCAGCACTTGTTGTTGTTTGACTTCATAATGGCTGCCAATCTTACTGGAGTGAGATGGTATCTTAGGGTGGTTTTGATTTGCATTTCTCTGACAGCTAGAGATGTTGAGCATTTTTTCATGTACTTGTTGATTGACTGTATGTCCTCCTCTGTGAAGTGTCTGTTCAGGTCCTTGGCCCATTTGTTGATTGGGTTGTTTGTTCTCTTATTGTCTAATTTTTTGAGTTCTTTGTATACTCTGGATATTAGGGCTCTATCTGAAGTGTGAGGAGTAAAGATTTGTTCCCAGGATGTAGGCTCCCTATTTACCTCTCTTATTGTTTCTTTTGCTGAGAAAAAACTTCTTAGTTTGAGTAAGTCCCATTTGTTGATTCTAGTTATTAACTTTTGTGCTATGGGTGTCCTATTGAGGAATTTGGAGCCCGACCCCACCGACTGTAGATCGTAGCCAACTTTTTCTTCTATCAGACGGCGCGTCTCTGATTTGATATCAAGTTCCTTGATCCATTTTGAATTCACTTTTGTGCATGGCGAGAGAAAGGGATTCAGTTTCATTTTGTTGCATATGGATTTCCAGTTTTCCCAGCACCATTTGTTGAAGATGCTATCCTTCCTCCATTGCATGCTTTTAGCCCCTTTATCAAATATAAGATAGTTGTAGTTTTGTGGATTGGTTTCTGTGTCCTCTATTCTGTACCATTGGTCCACACGCCTGTTTTGGTACCAGTACCATGCTGTTTTTGTTACTATTGCTCTGTAGTATAGTTTGAAGTCTGGTATCGCTATACCGCCTGATTCACACTTCTTGCTTAGCATTGTTTTTGCTATTCTGGGTCTTTTATTTTTCCCATGCCTGGCTCTCCCTGACTCTCCCTGACCAGATAACAACCCTCCCTGACCAGATAACAACCCTCCCTGAAATCTCAGCTGCTCCTCATTAACTTTGATATTGGTAAGGAACAACCATAGCGTGCTTTAGCTCATTTGAAGGAGGCGGGGCATGAGCCTGGAAAGGTAGGCAGAGTTTACTCTGCTATCCAGCAACCTTCAGTGGCTGCTGCTGCTATTTTTTTTTTTTTCTTTCTTGGTGGTGCTGGGGATTGAACCCAGGACCTTGTGCATGCAAGACAAGCACTCTACCAACTGAGCCATATCCCCAGCCCAAACTTTGATATTGGAATATGAGTTTACTTCCCACTTTGAGATGTTAAGCTATATAGATCATTAACCTGCTGTCTGCCCTTGTATTACGCTTATCAGAACCCTGTCAGCTGTAAGCTTCCAAGATACTCACCTTTGTAACTTTTCTTTTAGACCAGAGGCTGTCCTCTGGCCCTGTATTTGGGAGAGGCAGTCACTGATCAGCTCTCTTATGTACACAACATAAGCTTGCTTTAATTTGGTTTAAAATTGGAGTGGGTGGTCTTTTCTTTGCAAGGTGGGTTTAACAATTACACAATATATAAATGTATCAAAACATTACAAAGTATTCCATTAATATGTACAATTTTTGTTTTTATGTAAGAGATTATAATTTTAAAAAAATATTAGTTTTTCTTAGAAAGATTTTTTTTTTCAGTTTTAGGTGGACACAATATCTTTATTTTATTTTTATGTGGTGCCAAGAATAGAACCCAGTGCCTCACGCACGCTAGGCGCGCATGCTACCACTTAAGCCACATCCCCAGCTCCAGAAAGATTTTTATATGGGAAAGTATTTCTTAAAAGTGACTAACTTTTTTTTAAGTGATTAACTTTTGTATTTGTAGATCTGCACACAGTTCAGTGAAGGGGATGTATATTGAAGTTATGGTCCTGTTTGTTTCCCCCCCTTCTAGGCTGTTATTCGTGAATTAGGTGGTATTCCAATTGTTGGAGACAAAATCAACAATCCAAACCACAGTATTAAAGAGAAAGCCTTAAATGCACTAAATAACCTGAGTGTGAATGTTGAAAATCAAATCAAAATAAAGGTAAGCTGTCTGAAATAAAAAATATATAAGGTTTTCTACATATAAAAGGGAAAATAATAAAATAGTAAATAATGAAGCTTCATTAGACTATCCTGTATAACTTCATGGCAAGAATTAACTTCAAAGGAATAGAGAATAAAGCAGAGGAGGGAGGAACCTGAACTAGTCTGAAAGAAGTACAAGAAACTTTTATAATTGGAGTTCAGTTTAATGCAAAGGTGCTAAAAGAACCAAGCTAGAGGGGGTGGGGTTGTAGTTCAGTGGAAACGTACTTGCCTGGCATGTGTGAGGCATAAAAATAAATAAATAAAAAAGAACCAGGCCAGAATTAGAAAACTTCAGAAGGAGTATAGGCATGAATAGAATACTTGCTCTAAGAAAGTCAAGGTGGGGTAAGGCAAATCCATAAATATTTATGATTCAAGGCAGAAGATGATGGATTGCTTTAAGGAAGGATAGGTAAAACATTGTTGAGTACATGGAAAGGAGAGATTGCCATCCAAAAATATCTGTAAGAGGTGGAATCTGACCTGGCTCTTAGAGATATCTAAGGTGTCTATAGGTGGAGATGAAGAAGGAAAGAATTTTTTTTTTTTTTTAAACAAGGAGAGAATTCTAAAAGAAAAGAATTAGTTGAAGTGGGCACAGATCCAAAAATTACTGAGCTGCCCCATTGGGTAAGCTTGTTACTAGAATTGAAATGGTAAAAAGATTCATATACAATGAGGATGGAAATATTCAACACATTTTAGTAAGTGCTTTGAAAGACATTGGCATCTTATAAAAATAGGTGACTTATAAACAACTAAAAAAAGGTCACTTTTTTAAAAATATTTTTATTGTATATGGACACAGTACCTTCATTTTGTTTATTTAGTTATTTATGTTGCTCTGGGGAACGAACCCAGTGCCTCACACATGCAAGGTAAGTGCTTTACCACTGAGCCACAATCCCAGCCCCTAAAAAAATGCCACTTTTAAAGGATAGAGTATGTAATAAAATTGTAAGCAGTGAAAGCCAGTTGACTTGTAGATATAATTTAGAGCTTAAATGTTTAGATTAAAAATTCAATCTCTTTATTGTCATTACTGTCTTTGGCAACATGGTTATATTTATTTATTTATTTTCTTTAAAATGGCTAATTGGAATGTTGGTCATTTCTTAGCACTTCAAATTAGAAAATTTTTCTTACTAGTTTTAAATTTTAGTGGAGTTTCGATTTAGTAACGTGAATATCAATTTTCTGTGAAACATAATTTTTCTAAGCTAGAAAGATCATGGCCATACACTGTTTTTCTGAAAACAGAATTTCAGAAAACTTTTCATCATACTGGTTTTGTTCTCCCATGTGTGAAATAGGAGTATTACCAGCATTACATTCATTACTTTTGGCCAGTGGTGGTTAACAACAATATGAAGGGATACATACGTGTGCACGCGCGCACGCACATGCTCGCGTGTCCATGCACGCTTACATATAGATAGGTAGAAAGATAGACAGATAGATAGATGTATATAAGAAAAATAAGAAAAACCTTTGGCTAAATATAATTTTGCTCTGCTTTTTTTTTTTTTTTTTGGTACCAGGGATTGAACCCAGGGGCACTCAACCACTGAGCCACATCCCTAGCCCTAGTTTGTATTTTATTTAAAGACAGGGTCTCACTGAGTTGTTTAGCACCTCACCATTGCTGAGGCTGGCTTTGAACTCATGATCCTCCTATCTCAGTCTCCCAAGCTTCTGGCATTACAGGCATGTGCCACCATGCCCTGCTCTGCTTACTTTTGGTAGAAATAACTCTAAAGAAAAGTTCTACTTCATGTTGTTCCCCCATTCTTTACTTCTGAAATGGTGAAGTTCTTAAAACCCTTCTGCTAAGTTATTTACCATGATACAAAATGGCTTTGCATATCTTCCTCCCTGAACTTATTGTACCCAGACCAGTTTTAAAAAGTGGATTGAATTGGGAGGCTCCCTTCAAGAAAGGCCACTGGTGTTCAGAGCATGATCTCTGGACTTGGACATTGTCCCCAACCTGCTAGTTGACATTATACAGGGTCCTAAGCTCCTTAAAGACTTTAAAGTCTCTGGATGTAAGTTAACCATTATAACCCCCACCTCATTAAAGTTGACTTCAGGATTATATGAGGTGTATTTTTAAAATGCTCAGTGCAATGCCAGGAATTAACAAAAGCAGCTTTAAAATGTCATCAAAGTTTGAGGGCTGGGTAGAAATGTCATCTTTGGCCAGGTGCCTATAATCCCAGCAGCTAGGGAGACTGAGGCAGGAGGATAGCAAGTTCAAAGCCAGCCTCAGCAAAAGTGAAGTACTAAGAAACTTAGTGAGACCCTGCCTCTAAATAAAATACAAAATAGGGCTGGGGATGTGACTCAGTGGTCGAGTGCCCCTGAGTTCAATTACCGGTATCCACGTTCCCCCCACCCCACCAAAAAAAAAAAAAAGGTCATCTTTGTTTGAGGGCTGGGTAGAGATGTTATCTTTTTTGAGGAACCAGTTTCATCCTGAACAGTTGCCTTACTCCACTGTGAGAAAAGTTTGGGAGATTTGAAGATGCTCACTTTTCGCCACTTCTGCCTTCAGATATACATCAAACAAATCTGTGAGGATGTCTTCTCTGGTCCCCTGAACTCTGCTGTGCAGCTTGCTGGACTGAGAGTGTTAACAAACATGACTGTTACCAATGACCACCAGCACATGCTGAAAAGTTACATTACAGACCTGTTCCAGGTGTTACTTACTGGAAATGGAAACACAAAGGTAAAAAAAAAAATGAAGTGGTTATTACTTGAAGGTGAAAGAGCTATTGCATTAGCTTATTATTATTATTATTATTATTATTATTATTATTCTAATTTGTGCATTAAGCTTGTTAAGATTGACATCAAAGCCAGGCACAGTGGCTCATGCCTATAATCCCACCAGTTTATGAGGCTGAGGCAGGAGGATCATGAATTCAAAGCCAGCCTCAGCAAAAGCGAGGTGTTAAGCAACTCAGTGAGACCCTGTCTCTAAACAAAATACAAAACAGCGGTGGGGATGTGGCTCAGTGTCAAGTGCCTCTGAGTTCAATCCCTGGTACCTAAAAAAAAAAAAAAAAAAAAAAAAGAGTGACATTGAAAGCCAGGTGCAGTGGCACCTGCAGAGACTCGGGAGGCTGAAGCAGAAGGATTATAAGTTCAAGTCTAGATTCTGCAATTTAGCCAAGACCCTGTTTCAAATAAGAAAATGTGTGTGTGTGTGTGTGTGTGTATACATGTGCACGCACACACACACACAAACCATATATGTATAAAAGTTTTTTAAAAAAAAGAACTGAGGATATAGCTCATGGTAATGCACCCATGGGTTCAGTCCCCAGTACCAAAAAAAGGATTGACATTGAATTTCCAGGCCATCTATGTTAGGTTGATGTCTCTCAGAAAAGAGAATGTTTAGCCAAGATTTATTAAAAAGCTTTGACTGGGTCTAAGAAAGTACATTATTTTTATTCCCTAATATTGAATTGCAAAATTAACTTGTGAAAATGATTCACTGTTTCACGTTTCTGTAGATCAATATTCATTAGATTTCCTGCGAATCAGTGAAATTACCTTTTACTAAAGTGAAGTAGCTATCTCCCCCCAACCACAAATAGAAAAATTGTGATTAACAAGAATCTGAGTAATAGTGGTAGTTCAATTTTTTACTTACCTCAGGGTTAACAACATTTTTTTTTCATCCGTTTGTAGAAAATTTTTCTAACACCACTTTAAACAGTAGTAAATGAAGTGAATTAGGTAGGAAAAATAATGCAGTGCTTCACTTTGTCCAGTTCTGCAGATGTAGGAGGCAACAGAGGTGGGGCTGAATTAAGTAGGCTCTCTGAGCTGCTCTCTGAAGTTTCTTGAGTAAATCCCCTGTTAGTATGATTCTCATCATTGTCATTTTTCAAGACAAGACTGCATAAAACAGAATGTAGACTAATCAAATATTCTCATAAGTTAGGTTGATGGCTCATTGGGGTTTTACTATATTGATCTGTGTTCTCTGGGATAGTTGAGAGAGAAATGCACAGTTTTAGAAGGACCAAATATGAAGCCATACTCCTAATGTCCTGCTGTTGCTGCAGTAATTTCTGAGGTTATCAGGATGTGATTATCGGACAACCTCACTGTGGTCTGTTTTTGAGGTTTTTGTGTGGGCTTTTCCACATTTCCCACAGCCAAACTTATTTAGATCTGGCCCAAGATTTACCTATAGGCATTCAAAATTAAATGTAAAGGCTAGGGATGTAGCTTAATGATACAGAACTTGTACCTCATCCCCACAAAAAAATAAAAATAAAAAAAATATAGACAAGAGTTAATCCTCTTTCAGCAATATTGCTACATCCCCAGGCAATTTCCAACATGCATGCTCCTATCAACACTCTGTCCAGTGAAGCAAGATGACTTCCAACCTATGAGGACTCTTCCTTCTTATCCCATGGTGTGGTTACTACAAGAAAAACCTCTTCTCAGTCTGTCTCTAGCTGCTTTACCCAGAATCCCAGGAGAAACTCTGGTTGAGTGCAGAGCCAGGCAGGTCTGGCCTTGGGTCTGTATGTATCTGTCTGAGACATAGTTTGTGTTTTAATGCAATTTATAACTTTCAAAAAGAATCACATCACAATAGTATGTTTTATTTTTCCATTATATTGCCTATAATCTCTGGGACTGAGAATTTATTTCTTTTTTTTATTTTTGTCACCTGGGAACCTTTCCACTAATCTTAAATTGTTTCCCCATAAAAATCAAATTTTGGAGTCATATGTATCTATTTTAGATATTTTCTTAGTAAATAACCACCAAAGTGGCTTTTTCAAAATCTTTCTTTGCTTAAGCCTTGATCTCACTGTACTTTAATGACTTTTGGGCACACCATTCATTTATAACAAAATACAAATAGTGGAAGGTTAATTAAAATAAATTCTGTGCTTGCTATATCTGCAATGAGGGGGAAAAAGCTAGCAGCTTAAAATAAATGTCCTATAGTCACCACAAGATGGCACAGATGACAAGAGGGAAAAACAGGACTTTGCCTTTTCAAACCAAAATACAGTATATATATATATATATATATATATATATATATATATATATATATATATATATATATAAAATTCATATTTCACTGACATTTGAGCCAGGTGTTTTCCCCCTAACATTTATTCTTGGTATAGACAGTCAGTTAGACAGATTAAATCTCACAGTGACCCCTGCCCCCCGAAGTGCATTAATGAGTCAGAAATCTCCTTTACTTAACCACCTTATAAGGCCATGATTTAATAAGAGTATCTGTTTGGAGAACTTGATCTCTGTGTATCCATTTAGTAGTGACCTACTAAGACAGCAGCTTTTGTTTTTACCTTGTCCCCATGCAGTAATTTTATAAAAATACAATTTGCTGATAAAAGTAAGGTTAAGCAAAGCCTTATATCCTTCTCCTTCTCCTTAACAAATAATTAGTATGTACATGATCAAAGGAATTGTAAGCATTCAGTATAGGATATGGGCATAAAACAGAAAGAAAACACTAAAACTTCAGTAATCACTGATCTAAGATCATTTCTGGTCTTAGAAATATGAGGGAACTTCTTTCTTTGTACCTTTTTGTACATAAAACTATTCTAGGACTGAAGGTGTAGCTCAGTTATGGATCACTGCCTCGCATGTATGGCAGCCCTGGGTTTGATCTCCAGCACACACACAAAAAAAAATCTACAACAAACATCTATTGCCTTGGTAATCAAAAAGTTTTATAAAATAAGCATCCATGTTCTTGCCTAGATTTAGTAAAAGAACTTCTTTTGCTTTTTCCTGACTTTAGTACCCTCTTCCTTCTTGTTTTAATTTCAAATCTCTCATAAAAAGTATAAGGGCTGGGGTTGTGGCTCAGCAGTAGAGTGCTCACCTAGCACATGTGAGGCCCTGGGTTTAATCCTCAGCACCACATAAAAATAAATAAAGGTATTGTGTCTAACTAGAACTAAAAAAATAAATATTAAAAAAGTATAGTTTAGTTTTACAAATATTTAAAAGGGAAATTGAATTTAAATATTATTATTCTTGATTTTTCAGAATTAAGTAGTAAGAATGCTGGTATTTTAGGTAGTCAGCTATTAATTAACATTTGTTTGCTAGTTATATCACTGTCCTATATTGCAAAATATTTTTCACATAAAAATATAATATCGAAGTCAAAACCTAATTTTTTTTAAAAAGGCCATATTATTTATTTAATCTTGGTAACCAAACTATTGAAAATTTTTCATTCTTTCAGTAGAAATGAACTAAGCTTTGAGAGATTTGTTCCAAAGATCCCATTTCATTATACATATTTCACATTTATTTCTTATAAAAATCATTTAACATATGTGAAGCCACATTTTAAGAGTGTTATGTGTGTGTGAGTGGGGATTGTAAAGACATTCACAATATTCTTCCTGTCTCAATAGTGTAGTTAGAAAAGTAAAGGTTAAAATAACACTGCTCCCTGCTAACTGCTGACAGTGATGCCAAATGTTCTGAGTTCAGAGAGAGAGACTTCATGGAGTAGAGAGAATTTGAGCCAGGCCTCGAAGCACAGGCAAGAATTTAAGGGGAACATGGTAAGAGGATAGATAACATGGTAGGGACAGAAAAGTCATGTTTATTGGTCTGAAATAAACTAATATTCTTATTTCAGGTTCAAGTGTTGAAGCTGCTTTTAAATTTGTCTGAAAACCCAGCCATGACAGAGGGACTACTCAGAGCCCAAGTAAATAGATTACATACTTATTTTGTAAATACACTTATAAATTATGAGATTTGGACAAATAAATCTGGAAAGATTTATCACAGAATGTTCACAGAGCTTATCTCTGAAGAACAATATTAAGTTGTTGCTTTATTATTATTCTTTGTATACATGAATTTCCTAATTTTCTGTAACAAGCATATTTATTTTACTTTTAAAAATAAGTTTTAAAGGTTCTTCGTAGGAATAATAAATTATAATTTTTCTGTCAGCCCAATTTTGGGTAGGGTACACTATGACATCACATATCTTTTATACTTGGTTTCTTTCTGTGCACATGTGCCTTAGCAATACTGAATCCCCAGAATGTATGTGATAAATGTGGGGCTGAAATCCATGACATACCAGTGAGTACGTGTGTTATCCTAGAGCTTATGGTGTAGTGGAGACAAAAATATATAATAAATGAACAAGATAATTTAAAAGCTGTTGAGTGTTCTGAAGGAAGCAGAAGTGGTGCTAAGATAGAATAGAGTTCATTTCCTGCAGAAAAGGAACCATCTGGTTCATTTGCTCATCCCTGTTCTCTAAAATTATGCCAAAATTCTTGATTTTGTTGGTGTGAGCAGTAAATATTTGATGAGTTAATGAGTTCTCATGAAAACTGTATGATGGATCCTAAAAAGAATATGGATGTTTCTTCAAATTACTACATTCTGGGATTCCAAGGAAATCATTCTTTAGCTAAAACACAAAACCTCTTCTCTCTTTTTTCTTTTAAAGAGAGAAGAGAGAGAATTTTTTTTTAATATTTATTTTTCAGTTTTCAGTGGACACAACATCTTTATTTTATTTTTATGTGGTGCTGAGGATCGAACTCAGCGCCCCGCGCATGCCAGGCGAGCATGCTACCGCTTGAGCCACATCCCCAGCCCACAAAACCTCTTCTCATTAGTATATAACATAAGGATGCCTAAGATTTTACATGTGTAAGTTATTCAGTCAGGGTTAATTTTCTGTGACAGCATTTTAAAAATGTAAAATATTCAATGCAGTGTTAAAATATGACAGTGATACTGCTTCCTCTTCCAGGTGGATTCATCATTCCTTTCCCTTTATGACGGCCATGTAGCTAAGGAGATTCTTCTTCGAGTACTCACACTATTTCAAAATATAAATAACTGCCTCAGAATGGAAGGTCAGTTAGCTACTCAGCCTCCTTTCTCTAAAGGTTCATTGTTTTTCTTGTTATATGGAGAAGAATGTGCCCAGAAGATGAGAGCTCTAGTTTATCATCATGATGTGGATGTGAAAGAAAAGGCTCTAACAATAATACCAAAATTCTGATTGGTTGATCATATTTTTCCAAAGAGTAATGCAGTCTGGAAGTTAATACACCAAAAATTATTTTCCATTTTCCTTATAGAGGGATCCTTTCAGCTATTGAATGTGAGCAGCAAATATCACTTTTCATCTTTAACACAGTACAGGTGAAACATCTCTAATCTGACACAATGCTCAAAATTTGAGATTCTGGAGCATTTCGGATTTGGGGTTTGGGGATTAAGAATGTTTAACCAGTAAGTCTATTATGCAAATATTCCAAAGTATGAAAAATTCCAAAATCTGAAATACTGTTCTCAAGTATTTCAGATAAGGAATACTCAACCTGTATAACTTGCTATGGTTTTCAGGCTTATTTTGGACCATTTATTGATACCAAGTGAATATAAGAGCTTGAACTAAGACCAGTTATTTCACTATATGCTGAGATATTTTAGTTATTTCCTCTACATAAACAGTAACCTTCTATCTTTTTTTTGGGGGGGGGGGAGGGGGGGTATTGGGAATTGAACCCAGAGTGCTTAACCACTTAGTCACATCCCCAGTACCCCACCCCCTGCTTTTCTTTTTCTTTTTTGAGATAGAGTTTCTCTAAGTTGCTGGCTAGCCTGGAATTTGTGACCCTCCTGCCACAGCTACCCAAGCTACTGGGATTACAAGTATGCACCATCACACCTGGCCCCCTCTATTCTGAACTGATTTGCAGTTACTCTTATGAGACGGCATTGGTTTGTGATTAATTCATTGTTTCTGAACTACCATAGAATGGCCCTGTTTTTTTAATAGCAATGAGATCTTGAGCTCTCAAGTCCACCTGCCAACCCAGCCATACTGCTTTCAAAGGTCTTTTAATTATCAGAATCTGTTCTCATCAGCCAGGCACAGTGACACATGCCTGTAATCCCAGTGGTTTGTGAGGATGAGGCAAGAAGATCACAAATTCAAAGCCAGCCTCAGCAATTTAGCAAAGCCCTAAGCAACTCAGCGAGACCCTGTCTCTAAATAAAACTATTAAAAAGGGTTGGGGATGTGGCTCAGTGGTCAAGTGCCCCTGGGTCTGATTCCTGCCCCCCAAAAAATCTATTCTCATCATTTCTAGATAATGAAAAATGTAAACTTTTAGGGGAAAATGTTTTTTAGTATTCACCCACTCCCCTTCAGTAAGCTAATTATAAAGATATTACATGTAAAATACTGGGATCAATCAAAATGTCCATCCAGTAGGCAACTGGTTAAATCAATTAGCCAGTCTTTTAAAAAAGAGAAAAATTAAGTGAACCTGAATGTGCTGCTGTAGAAAGACATCCATGAAATATGGTTGCTTTTAAAGTACATGTAAAAGACTGTATGTACATTATGATCCCATGAATGGTTTTTAAATGCAAAATATTTATGCTTATAAACTCCTGGAGCGAGGCTGGGATATGGGAATGTCACTTAACCTATGCATACCTATTTCTACTGTTTGAATTTTTTTTACTTTGATCAGAAATTGTATAGTTGTTTTTTTTTTTAATAAAAAGTCACAAGTCTGTACATATTTTCTTCCCTTGACAGTACTTTATTAATTTTATCCATGTTTTACTTGTCTGGAATTACAATATAAAGATTTATTAGTTATTATCTATTTAAATAGTATTTTTATCCCATAAGGTATTTATTAACAATTTGATATATCTGAATGCAGCCAGCTTCTGTAATACTCAAGTTCATAGTCCTCATCGTGCTTAGCATTAAGTAAATCAATAGGCAAGCAGAAGCTTTACACTTGTGTACTTAAGACAAAAGCTTTGAGAGTGCTTTAAGTTTCATTTGCAAATATATGGATATAAACCTGTTGCTACAGGAAGTCACAAATCCTTAAACAGAAAAATATGTGTTATCAGGTTTATCCTGATATAAAAATCAACCTTTGAAGAAATATTTTCAGTAGAAAAAGGATGCAATATAAGATGAAAAATGGGAATTCCCAATGGGCTAGAGTAGTAACATAATATGATAGCTAAGAATAATACTTTCATATTGGTGACACAACACAGGTATTATTTCCCCAAAAGGCACATGTCTTTGTAACAGTTTTTCTAAAAATCTGTTTCCCTAATAAATGAAGCTGTGTTCAAAATGTGCACATATTAAAAACCAGGATAGGATTTGTATTTAATGTGCTTTAGACACATCAGATTCTAAATCTCCCTGTCTTCTTTTCCTCTCTTACTAGTCTGAATAAGTAATGACACTTCCTAGAGATCACAGCATTAATTATGAAATATCAACATGCTAAAGAAGAGGAGTAATTTTTAACTGTTTCGGAAGAATTCATAATAAATATATACAAATAGATATTTTCGATATAGGTCATCACATCTTTACCTTTTATGTGTTGTGGGAGTGGTTACTCAGGATTAAACCCAGGGATGCTCTACCACTAAGCTACATCCCCATTTTTTTATTTTTGAGACATGGTCTCAGTAAGTTGCCCAGGTTGGTCTGGAACCCATAGTCCTACCTCAGCCTCCCAAGTAGCCGGGATGACAGGCATGGACTACCACACCCAACACACCATCACTTTTATTAGGAGGTATGTCTCACCAGTGGACCTACCCTTAGGCAGTAAAGTATATCAAAGTAAGCATCCTCAGGAGGCTTGCTAATCAAAGAACATGAAACTTATAAGATAGATTTTAAAGTACCATAATGTATATCAGAAAGTATTATGTATATCAGACTAGACTGAGGATAGAGAATGGATTTGTCTAATTTTTCAAAATTTGTTTTCATTTGCACATAAACCCTTCAAAATGTACATAAGTGAAAAACTGGAAACCACTCAATAGGGTAGTTGTGACAAGGAACAATGACATTTGATGTACTTAATGAATAAAACTGTCAATGTAAAAAGAACACAAATGGTAATGCACCAATTTAAAAAAAATGTGGGGAAAAAAGATGAATGGCAATAAAAATCAAAGCAGGGAAGCCTAGAAAAATAAGGCTGGCTCAATCAAATGGCACTAGAATACAATTTAAAGTGCTTAGAGACTCTGAGTTAAACAGTACATGTGAATACAAAAATAATATTAAGGCCGTTCATTCATGGAGAAGAAATATCTAAGATATGTTTGGATTGCTCATAGCAGAGAGGTAAGAGATGAATTTCAGTTCAAGGAAGATGACCACAAGAATGCTGACTAGTGTTAGGGCAATATGCCTCAAGCTAACCCACCATAACCCTAACATCTGGATTCACATCTGCTTAGAGTGAAAAAGTCTATGTTGTTTTTTCCTTAAGTTTCTTTTTCTTATGGGGAATTTTTGTGCTTTGTGCCCCCAAATCATACATTCACATACTTTATACATACATATACATTGTGTACACATTTCCCCTTGATTGATTTGAACCTTTTAGATAAAAATATTAAATTTTGATAGAGATCGCTTATATTTGCTATTACTCTCCAAATCTACAAAATGAGTGGATTGTTTGGTGTCCTAATATGTAAGCATATATATGCAACAGGAACAATATATTATCAAAAAACATTAGCCTATTTTCAGCTTTCAAATGTACCTATCTGTATTAGGCAGTGATATTTTAGGAAATCATTTTCTCCCTTAGATTTTAAAAGTGCTTTTAAAAATATTTAGGCTGGGGATGTAGCTCGGTGGTTAAGCGCCCCTGGGTTCAATCCCTGGTACCAAAAATAATAAAAAAAAAAATATTTATCCTACTTATGTTGGAGGTAGGAGAAAATTATCCTCTTGTTACATGTGAGGAAACTGAGGCACAGTGAGCATAGGTGATTTGTTTCAGGTTACACAGAAAATTCATGATGAAATGAGAGGATTAACATTCAGATTAAGTGGCAATTTTTGGCATGCATACATATGTGCAAATTATAGAGCACTGTAAGTTTGTATATTTGGTGTAGAAAACCTATTCTAATTATTTTGTATGGATAAAGTTTATTTTACTATGTCTACAGATAAGGAACACAGAACAGGCCTCAACTAGTACCTAATACAGCTCACTCCTTTAAGAAGGTTCAGAACAATCAAGTGAATACAGTGCCTTATTTAAGACTAAAACTCAGGTCAGCCAACAACCAGAAATCTCTGTTTACCACTGGTATGCCATACTGCCTTAATAAAAGGTACAGTTATGCTTATAAGTCATTTAATATAAAAATATATGACATCTGAATCATGTAAAACAAAAGTACTTATAAAATAAATCTTACTGATACATTAGAGTTAGAACTAAGAGGGGGGGATGTATATAGAGAAAGTAAAATTTAATTCAAAGTGTTATGGCCTGTTCACATTTAAGATCTGCATTTATCTCATCTGTAAAATATTTCACTGTAGCTATATTTGTGCTTAGTAGAAGGTCTCACTTTTATATTAAAAATAGAAAATTTCATAAATCATTTCTCATATCCCTTCCTCTACCCTAGTAAGAGCTTTTAATTTGGAGATTGTAGAGGTGCAGTAAAATATACCCCTCTTTTAAAAATTTAAGTTCATGGTGGTTATGGCTTCACAAGAAATTTAAGATCATGTATATCTTGCCACAATCAATTTTAAAAATCTTTTAAAATGATAACTTGTCCCAAATCCTGTATTTGTATGCTTAATAAAATAAATCACTTTAACATCTGACATATAAGCTAGTCTTGATAGAACAAGAACTGCTATGTCTTTAAGCATGTGGGAATCGATTTTATCACTTATTACCATGTGAATATTAGAAAGATATGAGTGCCTGTGATCCCAGCAGCTCAGGAGGCTGAGGCAGGAGGATCTTGAGTTCAAAGCCAGCCTCAGCAACAGCAAGGCGCTAAGTAACTCAGTGAGACCCTGTCTCTGAATAAAAATACAAAATAGGGTTGAGGATGTGACTCAGTGGTTGAATGCCCCCAAGTTCAATCCCTGGTAAGGGGGGGGGGGGATATGAGGGTATGTATACAGGCGTCTAAAAAAATCTAGATAACTATAAAACCTTGATTCACCTGGTAGAGGTCCTGAAAAAATTAAAAAACAAATGGATCAAGTTTTTCATTATCTCAGAAAATTCTACCACCGCTAAAGTATAATGCTTTAGTAAATAATTTCTATTGCATTGGTTATACCATTAATATAAGATTTTTAAATCCACATTGTCAACTCATTATTTAAATGACTCACTCCTGAACGTTTCTTTTATATAAGCTAGTCATCATAGCAAGTTATTACACAAAACATAAAACACTTGCAGAAGTGTAAATATAATATTCATGACTTGCTTAGTCTTGTCATTTGCCTTCAAATTTACATCAAATGATGCTTTTTTCATCAAAAGCTTCTGTGCTCATATTCAAAGTTTTCATCCTCGTTATATAAGTATCTTGATTCTCCATGCTTCAAGACAAAAAAATCTTCAGTCTTAAGTCCATATCTTTCTAGAGCTTCACTCAGTTTCACTGGAGGCTCTAAGTAATGCTGGCAAAGGGCAGAATGAAGAAAAAGAAATTAATAACACATGGTTGGGGGATATTTCAAATTAAACTTCAAACTGAAGTAACCAACAAATCCTTCATAAAACAATTCCCTTTTTAATTGAATTATTAGCAAATGAGTCAATCGTATTTGTTAATACAGTCTGAGTCATTATGATATCAACAGAAATGTCTACTAATAGATAGAAATTAATATATCTAAACAACTGTATATCAAATGTGGTGCCACCTTAGACTGAACACCAATAAGATTATATGAAGTCTGATTTGTTAAAATTTCAATCTATTGTGGAATCTGCTAAAAATGGTATAGAGAATTGAATGTTAACATTTTGAAGCATATAAAAATTTGTGTGTGTGTGTGTGTGTGTGAGAGAGAGAGAGAGAGAGAGAGAGAGAGACAGAATGCTAGAGCAAATATTTTTGGCTGGAGAAGGGCTGATAGAATCAAAACCTCTAGCCACATGTAGAAACTAGTCTGCAGACTGAAAAAGGACCCCCAGAGAAGAGATACAGTGGGTAAGTTTCCCTAGGTCCCTTGATTTCCTCAATTTTTCATAGCTCAATAAAAAGGGAAGACGGCACACAGTATGTTCCAGAATGTTTTCACCCAAATATTTTCCAAATAAGGCGAGTCCACTGAATATTGAATAAAATAGTTATTTATAAATAAATTTAAAAGTATAAAGCTAAATCATGTCATTAGTTTTTGGTGGTGTTTTGTTTGTTTATTGTAGTATCAGGGATTGAATCCAGAGGTGCTCTACCACAGGATCTTGCTCAATTGCCCAGGCCAAATTTGCAAATCTTCTGCCTCAGCCTCCCAAGTCACTGGGATTGCAGGCATGCTCCACCACTGTGCCCAGCTGGTTATTTCTCATTTGGTCTAAGTCTCTACATCGCATAATAGCTATTTTTTCCTTTATTCTAAGGCTTTCCCCCCAACCATCAGACCTGTTAACTTCAATTAGAAAAGGTGTGAAAAAAGGAGTATCATAATCTGATTCGAGTTCTAAAGGTCACTGCCCTCTATAGTGTTAAGCAGATGTAAGGAGCAGAGTGGTAGCAATGAAGGAGGTAAGAAGTGGTCAAATTCTGAATACAGTCTAATGTTAAGTTGATTGTATGTAGGCAGGGTGGGGAGGGGGTACCAGGAGAAGGATGTGAGAAAGAGACGTTCAGATTTTAGCCTAAATAACTGGGCAGATAGAGTTGCCATTTACTGAGATGTAAAAGAAGTTTGAAGGAAGATCAGAAAGTTTAGTTTCAGACCCAAGGGGGGGATGTCAAGAGACAACTATAGATATATAAATGTGGATGATGGTGGAGGAAGGAGGGATATGAGCTAGAGAGGCACAGCAGGTAGATGGTACTTAAAGCCACAAGGCTGGATGAGATCCTTAAAGGAGAAAACAATTAGAAAAGAAGAGGTCCAAGGACTAATACCTGCAGCCCTCAATGTTTAGGGGGAGGGAGATGAGAAGCTACCAAGAGAGACTAAGAAGGGACAGCCAGTGACAAACAAGGAAAGCCACAAAACATTTCTTGAGGCTTAAAATGCATATGCAATATTCCCCCCTTGCTCACTTGTTCATGTATGACTCTCTTTAAAGGGTTACGAATATCTTTCCACTGACTACTGAAGATAACCAATTAATGGATGGCCCCAAACAGGAACCCACTTTTAGTCTATTTTATACATATAGAAAGGAGATCACTAATATATTGCCAATAGAATTTAACTAAATAATAACCTAAATCAAGAAATTTCCCTTGCAATTTTTTAGAAAATATTTCAAAATGATAAAATTCTTTCATTGAAAAATAACTACTTTTGTTAAATTCTTTTCACCCCAACAATACATATACACCATCACTTTACACTGATAATTTATTTATTAAGCTATATATAACTTTAGTGTGGCACATGATGTAGTATGTAGATTTAGTGTGGATTTTGATGTTTTAGCTGGGAGTAGATCCTTTGCCTTTAATCTGCCTAGGTTTAGCAATATTGTTCTGAGTTTTTTCATAGGTTAATTCTTATCTATTTCAACCATCTAGAAGATAACCCTGGAATTAGGTAAAAAAAGCCTTCTGAGTAACTGATAACAGTCTCCTAATCCAAGCACTTTAGTCCACAAAGGAGATAAAAATGCCCTACAGCCATAGGGGCAAACAGCAAGGTGGTAAATCAGAGATCAGTGAGATTGTAGGGAAAGCAGAGTTCCCAGCATTCTGGATTCGATAAAGGAAAGGCAAGCAGTCCTAGACAACAACTAAGTTCTAAAAGGGATCCCTATTAGAATCTTCTACAGTCAAGACCCTGGTCAACTAGAAAGCTAACTTACATATTATATAATACTTGAAGTCTGTTTCCATCAAAACTAATGATTTAATGTTTTGAGGCTTAAACACATGTTCTAGGAAATCCACATACCATATTTTAGGTAAACTGGATGTTGCTATATATGAAATTTTTTAATCTCATCTACTTTATAATTTAATAAACTCATGTTTGTCTAGTGTTATTCAACTAACATCAAAATGTGAACAACTATCTTTTTTTTAGGATTTAATCTTTTTTTTTCCATATCTTTATTTTATTTATTTTTATGTGGTGCTGAGGGTCGAACCCAGTGCCTCACATGTGCAAGGCAAGTGCTTTGCCACTGAGCCACAGCCCCAGCCCTAACTGTGAACAACTTTCAAAGGATTAAAAGCTATGAGTTTTTATTATATGTTTCATTAATAAATAAAGATGGAGGTTAGATTTATAACAGGAATAACACATGAAGGCTGAATAACACAATAATTATTTTTTTCTTCTTTTTCTCAGTACTGGGGTGCTGAACCCAAGGGTGCTATACCACTGAGCTATATCCAACACTTTTGTTGGGTACTAGGATTTAACTCAGGGGCACTTAATAACTGAGCCACATCCCAGCCCTTTTTGCTTTTTGACATTGGGTCTCACTAAGTTGCTTAGGACCTCACAAAATTGCTAAGGATAGCCTTGAACTTGGAATCCTCAAGCCTTAGCCTCCCAAGTTGCTGGAATTAGAGGTATGCACCACCACACCCAGTCCGGATACTTTTTATTTACTGAGACAGAGTCTCACTAAGTTGCTGAGGCTGGCCTCAAACTCCTGCGTCAGTCTCTGGAGTCTCTGGGTTCACAGACATATGCCACCACACCCAACTGTGCCAATCACAGATATGTGACTAACACAATAAATCGCAGACTGAGGTTTTGATCCTCTTCTTATCTTGCCCATGTATCAATGAAGATCACAACTGCCTACCCAATCACTCAAGCTAAAAGTCTAGGAGTTAATCTTGATTCATTTCTTTGCCCAGGTTTAATAAAATACTATAACTTCATCTAAGACAGTGATACCTATTATAAATGGTATATGAAACTCCTCTCTCTTCCTTCCTCATTCATTCATCCTCTGTACCCCACAAAGTTATTCATTTATTCACTCATTCTATTCCATCCCCTGACAGCATGGCTAAGAGTAGCTACATCATGACTCAGGATTGGGAATTCTGATTGAGGGGGTGGGAAACAAGCAATCAAGGTACTAAGAAATTTTGAAACAAGATGTATCCAGGAAGAAGGCAGGCCAGAAATGGTACTGGGGAGAGCCAAAACCAGCAAGAAACCGTGGGTACCTGCAGAGAGGCCCGAGGATATGGAAGATGCCACAGAAAGTAAAGAGAAGCCACATTCCATCCATCCCTTTCTAAAGTTTCCTTAGGGCAGGCTTGGATCCAGAAAAGAATAAAAAGTTTTAAGCTATCCCTCCTTGATCCCAGAATCCATGTTAACAGCAGAGTTCTAGGGTTCAGCTCCCTTAAGGAAAAAAAAATCAGCTCTTGTGGTTTAGTGTAGGAAAAAAACCAGTTACCCCAACGCCTGGTACACAGCAGACACTAAACCAAATATGACAACATATTTCTAGAAGATTCCACAATGTCAGTCTAGCCTGACTTCTCCCATTGCCCTTCATGCCATCTACTGTCCTGCTTAAAGGTTCCTCAGCATTCCCTGTACTTGCTGCCTCCAGGCCTATGCTGTGCCCTTGATCCCCCTCTGGAAATAACTTCCTCTTGCCTTCTCATAAGCAAGTTCAAATGTCATTTTTCCATGCTATTCTGATTATTGAGGATCACCCATGATTTTCTGAGACCAATGAATCTGTCCCACATTACAGCCATTTCCCCTTCCAATATCTGTATCACGTATACATCTTCTATATTCCACAGGAATGGAAGCTGCCTTGAGGGGGGGAGACATGATGGTTCATTTTTCTACTCCCCACTCTATGTACACAGATTTTTGGTTATACAAACACATGCTTCATTAACTACAATGATTAGTAGTCCGAAAAAAATAACTTGCAACAAGGGTTTTTCACTGTATGTGAATATTGTTTTACTGATTCATAAGGTTTAACACCCTAATTCATGTCATGATTGTGATGACTGCAAAGGGTCTGACTCCATAGTCTGTTTCTGAAAGCATTGCTAGGAGACAGTGATGCCTGAATCCCATCAGTGGTCACACACATCATCAAAGTTATTTTTATCATGATCAAACTCACCTCATTTGCTAAGGCAAAAGTTCCCCAGTGAATTGCCACAGATTTCTTTGTTTGAACATCGATGTGAATCCTGACAGCTTCTTCTGGGTCTACATGCTGGTATTTCATAAACCACCTGATAAAACACAGCAATTTATTAATTCTGGTCTTCAAATACACTCTGGATTCTAATTTTTGCTTTATCTAATCAGACTTTAAGACTCCATGCAGACCTGTGGGTTGTTTGAGAAATAAGAATCATCTCAGTTTGGGTATTCTGACTTTGCCTCCCTATTCTTCACTTGATTTTTAATTAGTACACCTAAGAATTGGGCTAAACTGCCAAAAGAATCAGCAACATACACTAGTGGTACCTCAACCACTTATCAGGCCCTGGACTTACAAAGGAACTTTAAGTAAGTACTGCTACTCAGCCTGTGCCCTCAGTGCTTCTGTTTTGATTGTTCTGGGTGGGACATGAGCATTAACATTTTCAAAAGTCTCCCAAATAAGTTCAATATGTAATCAAAGTTGAAAACTGCTGGTATAGAACATAAGCAACACAAACAGAATGAGCCAGAAACCAAGCCTGGAGGTCAAAGCTTAATTGTTTAAAAAAAAAAAAAAAATTAACAAAAAGATTCTGAACAGGAAAAAAAAAAAAATCACAGTAGGCAAAAACAATTCTAGCCGGGCATAGTGGTGCATACCAGCCTGTAATCAGCTCAGGAGGCTGAAACAGGAGGATCTCAAGTTCAAAGCCAGCCCCAGCAACTTAGCAAGACTCTTAAGTAAAAAAAAAAGGGCAGCGGTGTGACCCAGTGCTCCTGGGTTCAATTCCCAGTACCAAAAAAACAAAAACAACTCCACTCAGTACTTTTCTGCTGGAGGAAAAGAAACAAAGCAAACATCTTTCTTGTACAAATTGCTACACAATACATGAATCTCAAAACTCCTCTCTGAACAGTAAACTTTTATTTCATGTATATCCTTATTTTACTGATGATACATTCTGAAGACATGACTTATTATTTTAAAAAGTAGATATTTTGAAATCCTGGATATGACCCAAAGAAACTGAATAATGAGTAAAGAACTGAAAACCAAAATTCAAATGGCAAAAGAATCTGGATAGCCTATGAAAACAAATTTCTTTTAAACTTGCTGAAGTGAAAAGTAAACAAAAATAAGTGTATAAAATTTAAACAGCAGGAGTAAAAAATAAAATCCCATTAGTATTCAAGATATTTTATCTAAATTTCATAAAACTGAACATTGAGGTGTTTGGTTTCACAAGAAGGGAGGCCTGCGTAATGGACGAATGATTCGAGATAATGCAGAAGCACTGAAAGGTTGCAAAGAACAAGGACCCAGGCAGGAGGCAGGCCTGGCTGTGAATTCCAGCTCTTGCAGTTCCTGGAAGGCCTTTAGAAGGTCCCTTCTAATTCTCTGAACTTCCATTTCCTTGTTTGTTAAGTATAAATTTAGACCTATTCTGGGTAAAGGTTATTACAAGGATTAACAAAAACAATGTTTATAAAAGCATGAAGCATACTAGCTATTCCATAAAATTCTCCCAGAAAAGTACAGTTGACAAAAATCAACTTTCAGGAAAAAAAAAATTACTATATTAGGAAAAAACATATTATCTACAAGCAAACCTTTTGCTTTTCAAGCCATCAGTTTGGTGGAGGAATAACAACACTGTCTACCTGATCCACCAGGGCCTACTAATGCTACCGAAAAACTAATGAGCCTGGATTCAGCACAGGTGCTTCTGCAGTTCAGGGAACATCATGTAGGAATCCATCCATCTGTAATAGCCAAAGGGTGTTATTTACCGCCAGCAGTTGCTAGGTCCTAAGAGAGCCCCAAAACAAAGCCACTGTGTTCTCCCCAACAGAAGATTACAGAAGCACTGTTCTGCCATATCTCCTGGCACAGAATTCAGGGCAAGATGAAAACAGTTTTGGGGGGGGTGCGTCTTTATTGATTTTTTGAAAGATCCTACTGCAAATGAAAGGGATAGAAATTCCTTTCTATTCTAATGTCTATCTGAAATAAGTTTAAATTTTTGACTACGATGAAACAATTAAAATTTTAAATCCCAACAGACTTGGTGACAAGAGATCTCAAAAGTAAGGACGAAGCATTCCCAGCACATGACTGAAAGTCGTTTTTGTAATCATATCACGTTTGTAGAGCACTCTCAAGTTTGTTGAATGGATACTTTATTTCTGAAACTGTTAGTACTGATCAGAGAAATGAACTACCCAGAATAGGCTGCCACATTTAACTCTCTACAGCAAATAACATCTTCCCTGCCCTTCTCCTGTCTTAGAAATAAACATGGCCCAATGCAAGCAGGAAGGAAGAAGTAGGTAAATGTGTATATGGTTTGGTTTATCAACACAAGCACATATCTAATATGTACATTGCTATTTATGAAGACTTACTCTCATAATTACAAATTAGAAATATTCAGTTATTTTAAGAACATGTACTGAGTAAAGATCATTATTACACAAAATTGATTAAACCAGGCTGGGGCTGTAGCTCAGTAGCAGAGTGCTTGCCTAGCATGTGTGAGGCACTTGGTCCAGTCCTCAGCACCACATAAAAATAAATAAAGGCATGCTCTCCATCAACAACTATAAGATTTTTTTTTTTAAATTGATTAGAACAGTTCTTAAAAAAAACACAGATTGATATTTTCAGAGGCTTCATTATAACTAGAATTATTTAAGTGGAGAAGTGAAATTCAAGCACTAATATTGATTTATGATAATTTTAATAATTATCAGGCACTAAAACATTAAAATCTAGCCACCAAATTAAGTAAACTAGCAAAAAAAAAACATAAAAGGGAAAAATAAATGTTAATAAAGATAGGGAAAAATGGAGTTAGTGAACTTAAAAGGTTAACAAATAAGTTCAACAAAACCAGATGGAAACAAAAGATAAGATTCATATATTCCATCTATGTGTCAGAGAAACACTAGATGTTCTATTTGTTGGATCACCTAAATAAAATGCAGTTGTACCCATGTATGCAAGCACTGTAAAATGCAAAAAAATCATTTTTTAAATAAAAAAATTTAAATTAGCCCTTACTTTGTTACTATCAGTATTTGTTTTCTCTTTACTATATATAAAATCAGAATTGACTGAAATCTAACTGAATTCTCTGAAATCACTTCTCTTTTCCCTAAACATACAGTGTTAAGGAAAATGCAGATGTTCTCCTAGGTCTCCAGCCATATGTGGCCGAGAGCTGCTCTGGAAGTAAGTGATGAGGACACAGTGGCTGAAGGGTGAGCGGAGAGCAGTGTGACGTCATGACCACACACACTTTAGCGCAGACTAAAAGGCTGAAATGCCACAGGCCAGCTCTGGCTTTCTCTCTGCTCCACTCAGGAGAGCTATAGGACAAGGGATTGGTGCGTTCCAATCATGGAGTGAAAAGTAATTATAAAAAGAAAGAATATTCCATGTGAAAGAAAGAACAAGAGTTAGGTTTGATTGCTGGCTTACAATTGCTGGCTTTAGTTGGAATGGTACATGAACTTCGCATGAGGTATGTTATTTCTTTACGCCCTGGTCCTTCTTGATTTGGAATAATTACATAAAGGCTATCCTATGATTAAAATATTTGAAATTTAATAATATCTAACTGAATTTGACCCACAAAGCCCATCAATGTATAACAAAGCTCACCATTACATAGTTTCACAAAAATCATATCCTTTAAATTTCTAAACTTATCATGCAGCCGAAGTGTTTTCTTTGGAAATTTACAAACCTTGGTTCATAAGCTCCGATGGGAATAGCAGCAAGGTCAAAAGGTCCAAACCTTTTTCCTATCTCTTCAAAAGCAGGGCAATAACCAGTATCTCCAGCAAAAAAAAATCGATTCCAAGGCCCCAAGACAGACCAGCTTCCCCAGAGAACCTTGTTGTCATCCATTAGGGTCCTTTTACACCAGTGCTGGGAAGGTGTAAAGACAAAGGTGACCTTGTCGTGGCCAGGGACACAATTCTCCTCCCACCAGTCCAGCTCAATCACGTTCTCACAGCCACATTTTTGCATCCAGTCGAGGAGACCCAAAGGCACAAACCATCTCAACTCATTACCAAATTGCTCATTCAAAGCAATGACAGAACTGTAGTCCAGGTGGTCATAGTGGTTGTGGCTGATGAGGACTGCATCTATTCGGGGGAGTTCATTTATTGTGCATGGGGGACAACGGAATCGCTTTGGACCCATGTACTGCGATGGAGAAGCACGAGAGCTGAAGATAGGATCTGTGAGAAATATGAGTTCGTCCATTTCCACCATCAGCGTGGCGTGTCCCAGCCATGTGACTCTTAAGCCAGCTTCCCTCACTCCAGCTTCTCCAGGGTCATTGACAAAATATGGTTGAAGCACTGGGAGTTCTTTGTCAAGTTCCTATGTATACAAAGAAACACAAAGCAGCAGTGAGAAAAAGAAAGGTATTATATTATCCGGGCCCAGAAGGTCTATTTTGGAACAACTGACATTTTCAATGAATGAATTTGCTATTTTTGCTTTTCTCTTGAAAATGCATATTTAACTTCTTTTTTGATCAGAATAATATATTCAGATTATTATCTTCTTAGTCCTAAATGCAACAGGCAAAGGTAAAATTAAACTAAATTAAGCTAAATTAAGTTATTTTAGAGGCTTTCTGTTGAATCTCGGAAGCAGACTGGCTGGGATGTAGTTATCTTGCTTCACTCAGCTGATGTACTTGGTGCTGAAAACGGCCTCAGAAGCAGGTCTATGTCTAAAATAGTAAAGAAAGCTGATGATGACTTATTTGTAGCTCTTGGATGGCAGATACGAACCCAACTTTTTGAGCTCCTATGATTCAGTGTGGAGCACCATGATGATTCCTGGACAAATCTCATTCATCAATGTTCTTCCTTTCCTTACCCACTGATCAAACCTTAGAGAAATATGATCACTGCCTGTGACAAGATGACCGTCTGGCAGGGGGTGGTAAATAAATATACATCAAAAGTGTGGTAAGTATTGTTCCTTTGGCTACATGACATTTTATATTTGGATTAAGACTGACCAACAAAAACCTGTGGCCTACCATCAGTCCTGGCTTTTATAAAACTGCTTTTACTGAACTGTGACCTGGTGTCCTGCCATACAGAAGCATCGGGGTCTCTGGGAAGCTGCTTCTTGGATCCTGCCATGCATGCTGAAGACTTGTGCCACCTCCACCTTCCCACTGACCCCAGACACAGCCCGATTCTCAGTGACCGGCAAAGCTCTTCTCTGGAGCAACTGCCTATCTCATCTGACGGTCACTGGGAGACGTAACATTTCATGTTTCTTTCCCCTTTGCTGTGACCAGGAAGTTTAAAGCAAAATCTGAAGGGCGTGATGGAATGTAGTTCCATACTTTTTCTTGGCTTTATTTTTCTACCCTAGTAGTCTATTTGCTCTTATATGCTCATTCATTTTTCACTGCTACGTGCATTTTTATAAGTTTGCCTCAAAACAGTTTTGAAAACTGTGGTGTGAGATAAGTAATTAAATAAAATATGATGCGCTGTAGCCTAAGAAGAAGGAATAAAGAGCCCACTTGCCAGTGGCATCACAGATGCAGTGATCTGTGTGAGTGCTGAAGAATGATGAGAAATTCATGATGGAGAGAAAAGGAAGAAGCTAACCATGCAAAGACACAGAGCCAAACAGGAACATGGCGCCTGGGGGCAGGGAACAAACCAAATCTATCTAAGGGATAAGACTACACTAAGAGCCTCCCCCACTCCACCCACAGACAATGAAGAAGCATCTTTTTATACATGCAGACACAAAGACATGACCTCATTTATGTTTCAGCAATGCTAGAGTCTAATGATGACCTGAAAAGTATCCCAACATTGTTGTGTTTTGAAGAGATGAAGACCTAATAAAAGAGACAGCAGTGGGCTTGGACAAGAGAGAAGATGGGAGATGCGAGTGAAGGAAAACTGAGAAATTACCAGAACCATCTAAATGGAAGAGAAGCAGCAGCACAGGAGGAAGACATAAAAAGATTTCTCTTAGTCAGTCCAAGTCTTTTTTTTTTTTTAAAGAGAGAGTGGGAGAGGGAGGGAGGGAGGGAGGGAGGGAGGGAGGGAGGGAGGGAGAGAGAGAGAGAGAGAGAGAGAGAGAGAGAGAGAGAATTCCAATATTTATTTTTTAGTTATCAGCAGACACAACATCTTTGTTTTGTATGTGATGCTGAGGATCGAACCTGGGCAGCACACATGCCAGGCGAGCCCTCTACCACTTGAGCCACATCCCCAGCCCAAGTCTTAGTCTCCTCAATGCAAAACAGGTATAATAACTGAACACACAAAGACCTGAATTAGCAGTGGCTGGCATACCATAAGTGCTAAAAGCAAGCAAGCCTAAACTCTGATAACCAATCACCACCCATCTTATCAGTCTCTTGAATTCTGCAAAGCCACAACCTACTTAGGATCTTAAGTAACATCCAGACACTTCAAAGCTCTCTCAATTATTCAACTATCTTCCTGTCAACTCAGTCCACACACAAGAGCCAAACAGTCCTCAAGAACAGTCTACTCAAGGCACAACCCTTCCACCACCAAAACATCTTCCATGGCTCTCCACCTGACAAAGCCCATCCCACCTCCTGAGCTCAGCACTGCCCAGGCCAGCTCATCAGCTGATCCACACTACTCCTCTGCATATACTATGTCCCACCTACACAGAACCACTCACCACTCTTGGACTGAGTTTAAGAACCCTGTGTGGTACTGATTCCATTTCTCCAGTTAAGTTTTCTTCCCCTCTCATCCCTTTGAAGTCATAATCAAATTGCACATCCTTCCTGAGACCATTCCTGGGTCTCAGATCCTAGAAGCACTCATTCCTGCCTCTCAACATCCATGCCTCTCTGTCCACACATTTCCTCTGGATGTTTTCGTTATATGTAGACAAGATTCATTCCATCTCTTATGCAGCTTGAAATCATTCACAGTGCCTGGTTTGGTGATTTCCACATAGCATGTACTCAAAATAAAATGTGTTGGATGAATGAATGTCAATTTTTCAATCAGTTATCAAATCTGGTAAAGAGAATAACAAATGCCATATTTATCAAGAACTGAGGAGATAGAGAAATGAATAAAAGTTGAGGGCCTACCAAAAGTTAGGCATCATACCAGTCCTGGAATGATGATGAGGATGAAGTATCTAATATATCAAACACTTTAGTATAAAATAACATTAACAACAGCTACCATTTATGGAGTTTCTATATGCTCAATACTATTTGCTTCATAGATTTTTAAAAATATTTATTTACTTATTTTTAGGTGTAGATGAACACAACGCCTTTATTTTTATGAGGTGCTGAGGATCAAACCCAGGTCCCGCCCGTGCTAGGCGAGCACTCTACCACTGAGCCACAATCCCAGCCCATAATTTTTTTTTTTTAATTTAATACTGACCAAGACAAGACACTAGAAGTAAGTATTGTGAACTGTCTCCTTTTTAGTTTCCCAGTACCAGGGATTGAACCCAAGGGTGCTCAACAACTGAGCCTCATCTCCAGCCCTTTTTAAATTTTTTACTCTGAGACAGAGTCTTACTAGGGCTTCACTAAGACACTGAGGCTGGCCTTCAGTTTGTGATCCTCCTGCCTCAGCCTCCTGAGCCACTGGGATTATAGGCATGCGCCACCACAGCCAACTGAAATGTCTCCATTTTCACAGAACAGAAGAAGAACTAGTTAACAGCACTCGCACAAGATCTCCCTGCTGGTCTCCATGTTTACTGCTTCCCTCCACCATACTTTCACACTTGATCTCACTTAATACAGTCTATTTTTGTTTGTTTGTTTTTAAAGTAACAGCTTAGGGATCAAGTGGGGGAGAATAAGTAGAGATGGAGTACAAAAGATCAAAAGAAAACACTTGGGAATAATGGATATGTTCCTTATCTTAATTGTCGTGATCCCTCATCCCCAAGTGCTCTAGGTATTTGTGTATGTGTGTGTACATACATATAAAAATACATACACAAGCACACACACATATGTATGTCAAAACTGATCAAATTATACATTTTAAATATGTGCAGCCCAGATTATGTTAACAAAACTATTGAAAATGTTTTAAGTAACACTGTCTTTAAACAGTACATTAAAATCTCCTATAACAAAATACCCTGAAAACTGGTTGTTGTTTTTTTTCTGCTCTAAAAGCTGGTAGCTTTGACTTACTGTCTAAAGGTATTAAAATGATTTTTAAAAAGTATTAAAAGATAAAATGCTAAATAAAGCCAGTCACAAAGGCCCACATGCTGGATGATTCCATGTATGTGACATATCCAGAACAGGCAAGTCCAGAGAGACAGAAAATAGATCAGCTGTTCCCAGGGCACAAGGGAGGGTAAGGGAACTGGACAGGGATGACTCAGGGCATGGGTTTCTTTTAGGGTTGACAATAGGTTTCTTCGGGAGATAAATAAAAATTACGGTGATTATTGCACAACTCTGTGAATATACTAAAAACCACTGAACTGTGGATTTTAAATGAGTTGATTACATGGTATGTGAGTTATATCTCAACAAAGCTATTTCAAAAGGAGGTAAAGAGGCGACAGGAGAGCTGAACTAACAGGAACGCTTTTCTTCATGTTCCTTCCTTCATGGTGTGTAGTTTCCAGTCCCATCACACAAGAGTAACTTATTTTTAAGAACTTGCTCTCTAGCACTACTATCCCATAAGACTCAAAGACATGGAATCTATGTTGAGATTCCAAAGGAAAAAAAAAATATCATCTTTTACTTTCTACCCTAATCACTAGAGTTTGAAAAAGCATGTGGAAAAGGGATTGGGTTGTAGAAAGGGTGCTGGAAGACCACCGAGGGTCTTTTCCTCAGGGAAACTACATTGGGAAGTCACAGAAAGCAATAAAATAGTAATCATAAATACTCAGGAAGTCAAGCAGTTGAAAAAAAGAGGTATTACTAATATCAGGGTGAAAAAAAGCATATAAGAAAGGAGACATGGCCAAAGTTTACATTATTTTCATCAATGAAAAATATCAATACAATGACAAAAATGTTACCAGTGAAATCAGAAAGGTAATCAGAGTTAATGATGTTATATTGTAGAAATCAAAAGAACTAGAGAGGAGGATTTTGAATGTTTTCATCACAAAGAATTGATAAATGTTTGCTAGGATGGATAACCTAAGTATTCTAAAATATCACACTGTATTCTATAAAGATGAACAAGCATTATCTATCAAAAACAAAAAAATAGAGTTAGGCCTAAAGTCCCCAAATAGTCAAGAGGCTGAAGCAAAAGGATCGCTTGAGCTCAGGAGTTTGAGGCAAGCCTGGGCAACATGGCAAGATCTCATCTTAAAAAAAAAAAAAATAGAATATATCTATGTAGCAGAAGAGATCGAGTTACTCTGATATCCAGGGTAGAAGTCAGTATCAGAAAATGCCAAGAAAAGGCATATATTCTTTTTCCTTTGAAACAAGAAGGTAAACTCCAGAGGAAACAATTTAAAAGCACTGAAAACTGTTGCCTTTGAGGAGCAGAACTGGTGGCAGGGGCTAGTTAGAGGACTGACATTTTCCTTATAAGCCTTTCAGTACTATGTCTTTTTAAAAACTATACGTACTTTTTTTTTCTTGCTAAAAATTAAAAAGCATCTGTACATGTATACCTATAGTATAATTTGAATATTACCTTTTTTCCAAAGGGCATCCTATTCCTCAATGTCATACATCTAAGAATTCATTATATTTTCAAAATAATTTCATGTATCATGTGAACCTCAAAACAAGACTAGTGACCCACTCTAGTTTATTGTCACTTTATAGGAAAAAAAGATGAAGTTTGTGTTGGTCAGCTTTCCATTACTATAATAAATATCTGAGCTAAATCAACTTATAAAGAAAAAAAGATTTATTTTGGCTCGTAGTTTGGGATTTTCAGTCCATGATTTAATAGCCCGATTTTTTTATGGGCCTGTGGCAAGGCAACACACCATGGTAGGGAATACTCCACAAAAATCCCTCACCTCCTGGCTGGGAAGAAAAGAAAAAGGAAGAAGAGATCAGGGTCCCACAATCCCCTTTGTGAGCATGCTCCCAATGACTGGACCCCACTGTGCTAGGCTCCACCTCTTAAAGATTCCACTACTACTAAGCATGATGGAGCACATCTATAATCCCAGCTACCTAGGAGGCTGAGGCAGGATGATCGCAAGTTCAAGGCTACCATGAGCAACTATGGGAGAACCTATATCAAAATAAGATTTTTTTAATATTTTTTTTTAGTTGTAGTTGAACACAATACCTTTGTTTTGTTTATTTTTTATGTGGTGCTCGAATGCTAGGCGAGTGCTCTACCACTGAGCCACGACCCTAGTCCCTCAAAATAAGATTTTTTAAAGGGCTAGTGATGTAGCTCAGAGGTAGAGTGCTTCCTCTGCACCAGGCCTTGGATTCAATCTCCAACAGCAACAAAATGTTGGATCCACCACCTCCCAATAGTGCCAAGCTGGAGACTAAGTCTTTAATATGTGGGACTTGGAGAGACATTTAAGAGCCAAACTATCACAGAATTCCTTGAGGGACTATGATATAAATAAGGTCACACAGTCAGTAAGACTCCTAAACCTAACCCCGGTTCCTGAACTCCTGATGCTGTGGCAGCCTGATCTGGGTTTCTCAGACTCCAATCAGATGTCCTGTGTTTACCTCTGTAGTAGTAACCAATTAGGCCAGCTTCCTCCAACTAATGAAACCCAGGAAGTGCCTGCCTCCCTCCCACTTTGAAATTCTCCAATAGTCTCATTTCCCCACACTATCAGTGACTGTGATCAACAATAAAAATCAGACAAGGTCACTGAGCCAACAATAGCACAAAGCAATGATAGCATCTGAACAGTGTCCAGCTGTGAACTGGCATGCTGTGCTAAACCACCAGCAGAGACAAATATCAGGCCCAAGGAAAGAGACCCTGCTTCTGACCAGGCAACTAAATTATGCAGCTCTGCTTATGACCCACTTTCATTTTATTTAGACCTATCAGTTAATGTATACTTTAATTATATGCTTCTTCCAAAACATTTTCTTATTAATATAACTAAATAAATAAACAATAGAGGATGATAAAATCGCATGGTATATAATTATCCCATATACATCATATTATTCTCTTTCCAAAAAAAAATTTTTTTTTAGTTATGGTTTACTTACTAAATGCTAGCTTCCAAATTTCTAGAAATCTGAATTCTGAGTCTACCCAACCATATGAAGCAGGTCTTTTGCACACACTTCTTCATGTTGATTTTCTGGAAAACGCAGAGCTCTCTCACATTTGGGAGCCAGCAAAAGTTAATCATTTCAGCAATTTATTTAAAGAGTTTAAACAAAGAGTTATGGTTATTCCAGAAATATGAGAGGTCAACATGAATTTGACCTAGTTCTGGGCTTTGACTGAAAACAAGGAGGAAACAAGACAGAAATAAAAGAGATCAGAAACAAAACTAAGTTGAAATAGTGCAAAAGTGTTTTTTCTCTCTTATATGACACCGAATTTGTTTTTAAGGTGCACACTTAGAGACATGAAGCCTCCTTTGGCATTTTTTTTAAATATCCTAACTTAAAGACCAAAGAATAAACCTTTTACATCATTAAAGAATGCAACTCTAACTTCCTTCTGTTTTGTTATTCTCCATTGCACTTACCATGTTTCAATATACCACACAATTTACTTATATATTTTGTTTATTGTCTATTTCACTAAACCTAAGGTCCAAGAAAGCCAGCATGTCTTTCTGCTTTTTCTGTGGCTCTGTTTCTAACACATAATACAAGGTGCCCAGCACATAGCTGCTGCTCAGTAATGCTAGCTAAATAAATGAGTGAATGAATGGGCTTGACAAGACCCATAAAAACTGTAAAATTACACAAACAGGCAATGTGCTAATAATGTACATGTGTTTATTTTTCTAAGAAGATGGTCCATGGCTTTCATCGGCTTCTCAAAAAAAGCCAGCATCCAAAAGAGCTCAAGAACCACTGGCTCGGTGAGTCCTCAAGATTCAACCAAGTTTCTCAAATACCTCTTAAATCATTAGAATAGAGAGAGATATTTCACCTTCATGAGGTCATTTGCTCTTAGAAATAAAACAAAACTGAAAGTACTATTATTAGAAGCTGTGGCTCAAAAGCCAGGAAAAATTACCCCAATGTATAGCTTATATGTCCTGACCCTCTGCCCTAATCTTCTTCACAGCTTGATTCCATGTTCTCTCTTAGATAGGGTTCACGTGGGGGGAGAAATATCTTACTTGTCCCTTTTTCCCAACCTCAAAGCAGAAAATAAGCTTTCATGCCTAATTCTAATAAGGTGCTAAAACACAGTATTTTTGGGCTGGGGACATATAGTTCAGTGGCCCAGCACTTACTTGCATAGTAGGTAAAGTCTCTGGGTTCCATTACTAGCAACACAGGAATGGAACATGTGTTTGTGTGTGTGTGTGTGTGTGTGTGTTGTGTGCGCACGCACATGTGTATCTCTAGATATAGATATGCGGGGAGGAGGCTGATGGGAGGCATGCAGATAACTTAAGCAAGGAGAAGGGAGAAAAATATGCTCCTATACCTGAGAACCACCAACCGTTGCCATTCATATTTATGAATAAAGTATACCCTACTCATCTAATAATCTCTATGCTAAATGTTAATAAATTTCATCCTAAGTAAGGCTAGTGTATTTAAAGACCAGTAGTCTACAGTCAAGTTTCAAAGGTCTGGAAACATCATCTGAAGATTTCTTTTTCAGTTCTGGAAGTCTTATCCAAGGATTAAAAGCCATCCACTCTATGCCATCCATGTCTTACTTACTGCTCATAATCCACATTCCAAACTTGCCAGGTAACTACTTTCTAGAATACATCATACACTTTCTCACCTTCATGATCTTGTTCTTGCCACCCTCTACCTGGAAAACCACTGTCAAAAGACTTCTTAGCTATTTAGGCCCAGTGCAAACAGACATCTCTTCAGTGAAGTCCTATCTAACCCCACTAAGTCAAAATTAATCACTTTCTTTGCTATACCTCTAAAGCACTCCAGATCAGAGGTGATTATCCATGTGTACTCTCCTGCTGAACTAGGAACCTGTGAGCACAGGTTACGCTATTTACTTTGTTCGCCCAAAACCTAGCACTCTGCCTTATCATAGGATAGAGCAATTAACTAACTTGAGTGTACCACTCATAGCAAAGCTTAGTAATATATGAATTAAGAGTACAAAGGACTTTGAAAAGACAAGTGCTACCTCTTTGGAACATGGAACACTGCTGTGATCCTTCTCCATTATCAGCCATCTGAGAACATTTGAAATAGAGAGGTTTTTCCATGTTGGCCAAGGGTTAACAAATCTACCATCTTTTCCTTTTTTTGACTTAGTTACATCTTCCTCTAGTCTGTAATCCAGCTTGAAGCTTTTCCTAGAAAAATTACTTCCTCCAGAATTTGGAACTGAATTTTGGCGTTTTCTTACTGCTTCTTTAGGATACTGGCTGCTTGTCATCAGGGACTGGCTGCTTTCACTTTCATCCATGTCCTTTGGTGAAGAACTTAAGAGAAGAAAAAAAAAGAGGGGAGGAGTTTTAACATAAAAGCATTAAAACACATTACACAGTATTATTCTTAGTCAATAAAAATTCCCCAAACTGGGCTGGGGATACATCTCAGTTGATAGAGTGCTTGCCTCGCGCATGCACAAAGTCCTGGGTTCAAGCCCCAGCACCACACAAAAAAAAAAAAAAAATGTCCTAAATTATAAAAATATTATGTTGTTATTAATTCACACTTTCTTCCTGTGAAATGGTTTTAGAATCCAATATTTCTGCTTGCCAAATAGAAAAGATGTTCACCTTACCTATTAACCTAACAAACCTTTCAAAAATCTCTTCTCTGCTAGAATCTAAAAGCAACATATTTCCCAGCCAGCTTTTAAATATATGAAATCTGCCATTTCAATGACATTCTTTCGATTAAATTAAAGAACCTTCATGAGTCTATAATGTTTTCATATCTAAATTTTTGAAATATTGTTTTTAATAATGCATAGTAAGGATTGCTTTAGGACACCTCAGTAATTAAAGTGACTTACTGTTTGAGTCAGCTTTTTTGCTGCTGTGATCAAAAGACCTGATAAGAACCATTTTAAAGGAGGAAAAGTTTATCTGGAGCTCACAGTTTCAGAGGTTTCAGTCCACAGATGGCCAACTCCATTCCTCAGAGCCTGAGGTAAGGCAGAAAGTCACGGTGAAAGTAGTGACCGTGGAAAGCAGTTCAGAACATGGCCACCAAGAAGCAGAGAAAGCTCTCAGCTCACCAGGGACAAAATATTAACCCCAAAGGCACACCCACCACAACCTACCTCCTCCAGCCATACCCTACCTACCTATGGCTACCAATCCCTTAATCCATTCAAGTGAATTGATGGACTGATTAGGTTAAGGCTCTAGTAACCCAACCACTTCAGATCTTTTTTTTTTTTTAATTCTGATTTGTTATACATGATGGCAGAATGCAATTCATTTCATATTTAGCACAATTTTTCAAGACACTGGTTGTACAGAAAGTAATTTCACACCATTCATGTCTTATACATGTACTTAGGGTAATGAAGTCTAACTCATTCCACCATCATTCCTGCCCCCTAGCACCTTCCTTTCCCCTCCCTCCCCTTTGCCCTATCTAAAGTTCCTCCATTCCTCCCATGCTCCACCCCCAGTCGCTTTTATGAGGCTGCACCCTCACATCAAAGAAAACTTTCAGCCTTTGTTTTTTGGGGATTGGCTTGCTTCACTTAGCATTATATTCTCCAACTTCATCCATTTACCTGCAAATGCCATGGTTTTATTCTCTTTTAATTCTTAGTAATATTCCATTGTGTATATATACCAAAGTTTCCCTATCCATTCATCTACTGAAGGGCATCTAGGTTGGTTCCATAATTTAGCTATTGCAATCACTTCAATTCTAAACCTTCTTACATTGTCTAAGTCATAGCTTTTGGGGGTCATCTCATATCTACACCATAACACACATAACCCCACTTGGCCTAGGAATTTTTATGCTGAAATAACCCGATACCAACACCCTTGGAGTTGAGTCAAGTCCCAGGAAAGGAGATAACACATTGACATATATTTCAATAATATATTTAACTGATTAACAATATAAATCTGAATTAATTCAGACTCAGAACTGCCAACTTGGTGTAGTATGTATTCTAACTACGTGACTGTGGACAAGTTTTCTACCTCTCTGTTCCTTTATTTCCTCAACTATAAAATAGGGATTAAAATGTTACCTGCCCTCAGGGTTACTGAGCAGGTAAAACAAGTAAAGCATTTGGAGACAGAGTGACACATACACTTGGCAACAGCTCAATGTTGACTGTTGTCAATGACTTTGTCCTTACGGCTACTACATCTACCACTACTGACTACTTGACTCAAGGCATTGAAATCCCTGAATGTGAACTATTCAAGACTACAGATATATCACACAGTGACAAATGTATTAAGAGTATAAATTTGGGGCTGGGGATGTGGCTCAAGCAGTAGCGCGTTCGCCTGGCATGCGTGGGGCGCTGGGTTCGATCCTCAGCACCACATAAAATAAAATAAAGATGTTGTGTCACCCAAAACTGAAAAATAAATATTAAAAAAATTCTCTCTCTCTCTCTCTCTCTCTCTCTTTAAAAAAAAAAAGAATATGAATTTAATCTGCCATGAATATCATTTCTTTCCTCTTCTGTTAAACAAACATTTGCTTTCTGCTTAGTTGGTTTACCTACAGTACATACATATAACACACTTTATAACCCTAAGAAAATAAGCACAGTAACAGAAAGTCAATTATTATTTTTGTGGCTTCAATGGGGATTAAATAGAAATACTGCCCAGCAGAAAAAGGGAAAGAACACAAACCCCAGAAAGTACACGTATGCTAAACCAAAACTTTTTTTCCCAAACTTTAGAGTAAATAGTCTATAGCCTGGGGAATAATCACCATGAAGAAAAGAAACCACAGCAACCAAAAGCTAAAGCACTCACTGCTGCCTGCAGGAATGCCTAACATCTGAGCAAGTGCCTAACAAGCTATATATCTTGGACAAATAACCTTTCTAATTCTCCATTTTCTCACCTGTAAAATGCCTGCCTATTTGTGGAGGTTTCAAAGGATTAACTGATATAATGTACATAAAGTGTTTGACACATACAATGCCAATTCCTTTTTCTCTAACCCTGTTAACTGGCCAGACATCTAAATTCTTTAATTACTGTGAGAATTTTAAAGGGATCTGAGTGAGGTATCTCAGCTCCCACAGAATCCCTTTTCTTGGGTTATAATTAAGTCCAAACCCTCAAGGTAGATATTATAATCCCCATTTCTTTAATTGAAGCACTCAGAAGTAAATAGCCTAGTTGAAAGACAACGAGGTAGTGACAGGAAGAAAAAAAAAACAGAATAAATGCAAGAGTCAAGAAGTTGAGTCAGTAAATCTTGAGAGTATTCAGATGGTCATGAATTTCTGGACTCTTTGTAGAGCAGGTGGTGGGGGTGCATTATAGAGTGGGAGGGATCAGAAATGGCAGCCTCACTGATCAAGTTGGATTTCTGACCCAGTCACTTTCAGATCATGGGGATGCAAGAATCCAAGAGGATGGCCAGGTGTGGTGGCACATACCTGTAAGCCCAGTGACTTAGAAGGCTAACGCAGGAGGATCACAAGCTCAAGGCCAGCCTTAGCAACTTAGCAAGACCCTGTCTCAAAATTTAAAAAAAAAAAAAGGCTGGGGATGTGCTCAGTGGTAGAGCACCTCTGGGTTCAATCTTTAGTATCAAAAAAAAAAAAAAAATCCAAAAGAATGTTACTCACTGACCCGCCCAGCAGACATACATTACCCTGGGAGCCAGCCTGCTTTGGGGGTAGTGAATTGAGAACAGCCCAGAGACATAAGGAGCCTGCTTGAAAGCCTGGAGAGTAAAACAGGAGAGCAACATGGGTTCAGTGATCTGTTTTTTCCCAAAATAACATGGTTTTTCAAAACTGTTTATTCCTGCTACTTCCATTTTCTTACATCCCATCCACTCCATGGAAACAGGTCCCCATACCAAATGACTATCCTCTCTCACCACCTTCCCATCCTCCCTGCAGAAATCTACACAAAATTGTCTTAGGGGATGACTTTACAAAGACAAATCTGACACAAACAACAAACCCAAAAGGAAAAAACGTCCAAAGGGTCCCTTCTGCTTGGCAACCAAAGGTCAGTAAGATGGCTCACAAGGGTCTGGGTTTCTGGCCCTGCCCTCCCCACCTCTGCTCTAAACACATAGCCATGATCTTACTTTCTCAGATGCATAGTGCTCCTCCCTTAGGGGCATCAAATGCCATCATGGGGCCTTTGCATATGATTTTTTAATATCTGTAGGACAGGAAGAGGGAGTGTGTAAAAATGGATATTCACAGATTATGTATTACTAAGATACATGTCAGGCAAAACAAAATATGATACCACAAAGCACCATTTCACACCATGCTTCGTAAGTGAAATAATGGAAAGGAGCAGAAGCACGTAGAACCCTGAACCCTGACAATCTGGACTGGTTCTGCCAGAAGAAGTCCATTCAGTGAATGTGCAGAAGGACAAGCTCTGCCAACATGTGCCTCAGTAACGAACTAAACTTCCGCCCACAGAGACATAGGGAACCTGAGAGCCAGGTCATAGAGGTCTGCTCACCAACATCGGTCTTGTGGTCACTCTGTTAGTGGATAGATCAACACCCTCACCATCTGTAATACCACCTATAAACACCAAAGGTAAGATGACATAAAAACTAGTAGAAGAATGAGTTGTATGTATGCTCCTGATAGTAACTAACCAACTTTATTATAAAAAGGACAATTTATTATAAAAAGGACAACATAAATTCCATCCAGTAATTATCAAGCACATTCTCTACATTTCTTTGAATATTAGTTGCTTATTTAATTGCATAAGGACTCAACCCCTGGGTCTTTAACCAAAAAGGGGTCTGGACTGTGACATTTGGTGAAGAGAAGTCAGCCAAGTACAAATATTTTACTTCAATAACTGCACACATGGGCAAAATGCTTTCCAAAAACAAGAATTCTCTATTAAAAAAGCAAATGTTTCATGCTTTCTTTCTTTGACATTTAAGACTTGCCAACTCCCTAGAATTGAATGTACTGCTTTATCATTTAAAAGTTAATGAAAAAGTTAAAGAAAAAAATCATAACAGTACAACATGTTTGGGATTTCAACATATCCATAAATTATAAAGTAGCAAATCAGCATTCTTAGAATAGACATTCAATAAATCCTAATTGAGTGACCATCCATTTACAGAACAATCAAGACACTGACATTAAATTTGAGAAGTATTCAGAACTGTATTTTCAGATATCTGATAGAATAATATTAAATTTAGAATTCTGTATTTTCTTTCCTTATTTTTATCGAAGAGAAGTTTCCTTTTTTGTTGTTGTTTTTGTTTTGAGACAAGCTCTTACTATGTCACCCAGTTTGGCCTCAAACTCCTGAGCTCAAGTGATCCTCCCACATCAACCTCCCAAATAGCTGGGACTATAGGCATGCACCACTGCACTCAGCTAGAAAAGGATCCTTTGACCACACTGCAAGATAACATAGCTAACAAAACCACTGCAGTTCACTGAAACGTCTGCCAAGGGCTTCAGTAGAGTAAAATGGAACTCTTCCCATCTCTCACTTTCCACCAGACATCATGTAAGACCCCACAGACACTGAAAGAACTGGTGGGAGGCAGGTATGTCCAAGCATGGGAAACACACTAGACAATGAAAGGGAGAACTTACTGAGGGAGGCAGACACAAACATCCACATACCAAGAAAGTTCTGCATTGTTTACCCCGAATTTCATTTTTACCTCACTTTATTAATTTAACCAGTTTGCTAAGAAGCTAAAGGAAAACAAATAGAAAGTTTATTATACAGTGCCAAGGAGTACACTAAACAAAAGTTATAACAACTTGTACAACAATTATTGAGTAAAAATTATATCAGAGCCGGGCACAGTGGCACCTGCCTGTAATCCAGTCAGATGGGGAGGCTGAGATTCTCTAGGGAGAATCACCAGTGAGTTCAAAGTCAACCTCAGCAATGGCGAAGTGCTAAGCAACTCAGTGAGACCCTGTCTCTAAATAAAATACAAAATTGGGCT